CTCTTGACATGGATCTTGTAAGCAAGTACTTACACCTTCGCTACCACTCGTATCCTATTTAAGCTAACAGACCCACATTTAATTCAAAATTACCTTTGGCTCTTGTTCTTACCACGAATCCCGATGGCAGTGATGTCACTGACCCGCTCTTTATCTGTAGTGCTGTTCGACCGCTTCCGTGACCAGTCTGGTGAAGAGCTCGGATTCGAGTACCATGCAAGTAAGAAGGCTTAGATGAATGGTAACATCTTCAACACTTACCTAAATACGTTGTGTGCCAAAGTGGCTGGACAAGACCGAAAGATTTTGATGCTCGTGGACAATGCACCACCGCACCTACTTCACACCGAGACTGTGTTGAGAAAAATTCGAGATCGAATGCTGACGAAGAATACAACTACTTATCTTCAACCACAATATGCCGGTATCATTGCATCGTTCAAGTCCAAGGTCAAATAGCGACAGCTGGAGAACGCGCTCGACCAAATCGATGCTCTCATGGCGGGGCGACAGGAGATATTGTACGAGGTTCCACTTGTGGAGGCGATGGGTTAGGCCAAAGAGGCATGGCGTTCCGTGTCACAGTCGACTGTGACAAATTGCTGGGTCAGAACTGGCATTCTCGACGGCGACTTGTCTGTGTTTAGTGAGAGGATGTCTGAACTGGTGGTGGCAACCAAGATGGTGTGGAATAATTTGACATGTAGGTAGCATCCGACATCGAACCGACACATTTCTAGATGGGGATTGGGTAACCGACATCAAGTCTCGTTTGGATTGGATGACCGATGTGAGAGGATTTCGATTGGGCGATCGTTCTGTCGTTTGCCAACATATCACGCACATAACGTGATAACACGATATGATTGGTCAAATATCAAATAGGTGGCAGTTTCACATCCAGTCTCGCCCAAGCAGTGGTGCGCGAAGTCATTCTGCGTGGCTTGAAGCATCAATGGGCCGACCATGTGACAGGCAGGAACAAGTGACAATAACTCGATTCCCTGCTGCGCCACACTGGTTCATCCAGATGAACCCACGTGGATCCAGGGACGGCCGCACAATTCCGTTGCGGTAAGCCCCCGACGAACGAATGAACGAGCTTCTGAACAAACATACTAACCCCTAGGCGGATTGCGCGGCGTGGGATTCGTGTGACGGTGGATCCTTGGCGTCTTGTCGCTGGACGTGGCACGGGACGGGCGTCGCATGGTGGAGGGGGTTGCGATGCTGGACGAGCCGAGTGTCAGACATTGTCCAGCCCCAACAACTGGTACGCGTAGCTATGCTGGTTGATCTTTGTGGTGTCGGCTATAGAACAGTAGTGCGTAGTCAGGCTGGCGAAAACCCCCGTGACACTGGGCTCGTCTAGCACATCACCCCCCCACACCTCGCGGCACCGTCGCATGCCACGTCCAACGAAACGAAGCCAATGAGCCGTCGACACACAAATACCACACCGCGCAATCTACGTTGTGGTTTGCTCGTGCTCGATTAACCTTTCGTCGGATACTCACCGAATAGGATAGTGCGGCCGTACCTGAACGGAGACTTGGGCCAATGTGGTCGACCATCTTGCTCTGCCCGACAAAACTAGTGTGGCATGGCAGGGAATAGGGCTATTGGGCTATTGTCACACCAGAATGTCCACACGAAAACCCTCCAGACGTGGCATGCCGATGTGTTGGCGGTAGTAAACGCGTTGTGAATCAACGGGACCAACCGCGTCCTTGAACTGCGCTATCGGTGGGAACAAGCACCCGCTGCCGCCGACTGAGACTCTGCGTGGCTTTTGAGAGACTTGAAGCTCGCCGCATTGTAAGGACTAGGATGTCCGGAAATTGGCAAGTGCCCCAATATTCTGTCTTGCGTGTGACTGGAAGTGTGGATTTATGTACCTGGTACTCCCAGGTACATAAAGTGTGAAAGTCACACGCAAGACAGAATATTGGGGCGGAGTACAGTGGAAGTGAAGGCACGCATGTGTACGAAAAATGCCACTCTGGCGTGAGTGGTTCGGCACTCCATATCCAGTCTAGTTCTAGCTCTAGACTTTGGTGTGTAAGTTTACAAAACTAGCACCAAAGTGCGAGAATCGTCGAAGAGGACCGTGATGAAGTCACTCCAGTGCTGTTTCGATTCAAAGCACTCGAAATGTAACTTACCGGTCGGTACTTACATTTTGACCAATCACAGCAATGTCGGATGAAAGTGTCGTATTTGCAAAGTTACCCATACAAATAATATATCAGTAACATTTTATAAACTGTTAAACATTGTCAAATGTCACCGTTTCGAATAGTGAGGGAAATCAGTATATTATTAAGAGATTCTGAGGATTTCGTCAACCAAATCAGGCATACATTATTAACATTACACCCAAATCAGGCATACATTATTCAAGTGACTTACTGGCCGGGAATTAAATTCACATAGGAAAACTTCAATTTTAGAAATTCGACGACCAAATTGACCATGCGATGCAAATGATGCAAATGATGGGACCTGCATAAAGTTATAAAGCTCACCACGATGGTCAAAATGCATCTTTTCGCAGCCTTATCTGATGAATGGGTGGCGGCGAGTTATGGCACTCAGAATAGAGGCCAAGCTGGCCGGAAATTACAAGAATCACCGTATAAACTTATAGAAATTGTACGTAGTAACTGGTACTGGGACCAATTTAGGTGGGACAGAGGTAGTAAATGTTTAGTGGCATATCCATTTCAGAAGCTTATTGGATTATACAGTTGAAAATGACGTGCATTCCACCATTTACTACGTAACTCCTATTAATAGTTCTTCGTAATTCTATTGGTTACTTCGAAGTATTCGGATTCTATAGTATTAATAGTACTATTAATACATCCTACTCCCTCGTCCCAAAATACTTGCGTAGTCTTGGGGAGGGGGGAAATGACTCGTTATTATATTTGCAAGTGATTTTCAAACTTGTCTGTCGTCTGCCGTTCGTTGAATTTCACGTGTTTCGATGGTCCATATGAACAAGCGCGCCAAGTCCTGTCAATTCATATGTCAGCGAGGGAAAAATACACTGGAACCTTCACAGAAGTCGCTCGCAAAGTTCTCATACTTTAAATAATATAAATTGGTGACCAACATTCATAATGCGTGTCAACAAACGAACGAAGACCGCGAGGCCATCCTTCGGGATATTCTGCTCCACAGCAGTAAGACCTCCTTCGCAAGATTGCCAAAGGGCATTGCGCAGGTGCTTGCCGAAAAGTACAACTGCCACCACTCTACCATCCGCCGCGTCTTTTTCTCAGGCAAAGCAGCAGGGAGTTGCTACCGGCAACATGAAAGTCTCGGTTTCGAGCAAAAAGAAGGGTCGTGTGGGTAGGAAGACGGTCTATACCCCAGAGCAGGTTAAGGCGAAGCTAGTGCGAGTGTCGTTCGCACAACGCACTACACTGTGTTCAATGCGTAGCATAAAAAAGTTTTGAGGTGTTTGATATTTTATTCAAGGAGCCGTACATCTTTTTTCTGATCTACGCAAGTATTGTGGGACGGAGGGAGTATGGTATAACTTGTTCTGTATTTTGATCTATTACCGTACATGTGAACAAATCCTACTTGCTTGAATGTCCTTCTAGGTCGTCATGATATTCGAGCGCGAGTCGAACCTGCATGGCTACTGAAATCGGCCTACAGCAATGCGCCGAAGACGTTCGGTTTCCGCAAGCTCCACCGTCTCCTCCACTGACGCGCGATGCAACAAATGTGCATGGACCTGGTCAGACAGGATGTCAGTATGAGGTCGTCGAGGCAACCAACATGCCTCGGCTTTGATATCCAAGCTCATGCGTCGAGTTCGCTCTGCCTCAGTGACGTCGTTGACCGAGTTCCTGCGCACGAGTTCGTTGTGCACCTACGCCACGCCCCATGTGACAACGGGGGCATTTAATTCGACTACTTCGATGATGTTTTGGTGGTTCATCCGACGACTGCGCTCGTCTTCCACCTCTTGACGCACTTTTTTCTGGGTCGACACACGGACGAGTTGATTGTGCACCTACCAAGCATGCCAAGATCGGCAATTGTGTAACATGTTCATTTGGCTGTACTTGCGCGATGTTGTCTAGACTCGCGCGTCGACTTCGCTCAGCCTCCATGCTTTCCACGGCCATTTTCTTGGACAATTCACGAAGTAGGTCGTTGTGCACCTTTCCAACACCGAGTATCACTCATAGCAATGCAACGTCGTTCCGTCGCTACGCATACTTGTGCCAAAATCTCCTGGCTGATGCGACGAGTGCGTTCTCCTTCCACAAGACGCACAACTTCGCGTTTGGATTGCTCTCGAAGTAGCTCGCTTTGGACCTACGCTAAGCTTGTCAGACAACGCTGGTGATTTAACGCATCGTACTTGAGCGAGTGAACTACACTACCGTATTGGGTTGCCGGATACGAGAACACCCGGATAACAATTCATCCGGATGTCTTGGTGTTTCCGGACACGTCATATCCGGATATTAAGTTTTCCGGTTACGGGTATCACCACCAACCAACAAGGTTGACGTTTGGTTGAAGCACCAAGAATCACCATGACGACTCCAGTGGCAGCGATCGTGGACCTACAGGAACGTTTGGCCAAGCTGGCACCGAAGCTTGCACTGCAACCCATGCCAAAGATCGCAGTGGCCAAGGGAAAGCATGGCACGAAGACCTCTAGCGCCCTTCGAGGCGTCGACCTCTTGCTCGCACTCTGCGCAACAGACGACCAGCGAGAACAAGTCGTTGAGCTGGTCGAGAAGTACAACCCATCCGAGCTGGAACTGGCGTTGACAGGCGCATTTGACGCCAAGACGAACAAGTTCAACTTGACCAAGGCCGTGTTCTTGACCGATGACCAACTGGTTGTACACAGATTTGTAGAACTGATCGAATTGCAGCTGGAAGACCCAGAGAGTGCCGCGGGGAGTGTGGCACTTCTGCTGACGGAGAACGGTCACAGCGCCGCCGATACGCATGTTGCCGAAGAGTGCCTCACGATTGCCTACGCGTTGCAAACACTGCTTCGGTACGGTTATCGTTTGTTCGATCGCATACATAAATCTCATGGTTGGTTGGTTCAGGGCGTTCCCCAGCATTCCACTGGCGATTCAAGGCCTCGCCGTTGAGATTGACGATGCCACCAACATCGTGGACGTGTTTGGCCCGCTGTTTTTCGCTCCCAAGAAGGCCAAGATATCAGACAAGAAGCACACGATGGAAGCATCACACACGCCAAAGAAACGAAAAAATAGAGTGTAATTAATGCAACTTGCTTCGTTTGAATGTGGAACTACGTAAAATTGCCTTATTGTGTTAGTCCTGTGGGAATCCGAGATGACAGCAAGTTGAACGCTAACGTTACTGTAACGTTAGCTCGTCCAGAGCCGTTCCCTGTGTATCGCCCTAACATGGTTGGTCACTTCGTCGCGATGATGGCGTATACTGCATTTTCAACTCGACTGAAAATACTGTAGTACTGTAATCACTTGGTTAATTGAGTTTGGATTATCATTTTTAAGACATTCCTCCGCGAGGGACTGTAATCACTTGGTTTTGGGTACATGAACTTCAAAGTTGCCAGTAAAGTACGACTTGGAGAATCTCGTTATTATTCTTTTGGCGCGACATAATTGGCCAATACTCGATGCCAAAGCAATCGGATTGGCTAATTATTTCCAAGTGCTGGCGCAGTTATTCGTATCCTGTTTTCGCATCTTCGCGTGCCGACCACAGCTGCGATGGGGGCGATGATCAGTCAACTGGTATTCCAGCCGCCACGGCCGACATACACCAGTTGCCGCCAGTACACGATGCTAGCCACGTCCCTGCATAACCGCATCGCCACCTTCTACATCAAGCAAGAGTACGTCGACATGTTCGTTCCGGACTTGCGCAAGTCCTTCCAATGCATTAACCATACATACCACATGCATGTAGAGGCGCCAAGTACACGTTATTGTTCTCTCATGGCAATGCAGAGGACCTGGGCATGGTGTACGATTGGTTCCGCGAAGTCAGTCGCCGCATCAACGTACGTCCTCACATCATTGTCGTCCAGTCCACCGATGTCCATATTTTGCAGGTGAACGTCATGGCGTACGACTACACTGGTTACGGTATCAGCCTTGGGATCCCGAGCGAAGAGGCCGTGTATTCTGACATCGAAGCTGCGTTTGCGTACCTTGTGAATGTCAAAAAGACACGACCAGAGCATATCCTCCTGTAGTATCTGCCGCGTCTTCATGAACCACTAGCGTCACATTCCTTGGTTGTTGCAGATATGGTCGATCCCTGGGTACAGGTCCCTCTTGCTACCTTGCTGCGAAACAGTCGAGGTTGCAGGCGCCCGTGGGCGGCGTCGTCTTGCAGGTATGAGTATCCCACCACACTCGTCTCGTACCTCTGTCTCATGCCTGTTCACCGTCGCAGAGTCCGCTGCTGTCCATCTATCGCGTGGCGTTCCAGTTCCGGTTTTCGCTGTTGGGCGACATGTTTTGCAATATCGACCACGTCGGCCATATTGAATCGCCCGTCACCATCATCCACGGCACAAGGGACGAAGTGATTCCATTTTGGCACGGCGAAGTGCGTGGTGTTATGGTCGCGAATCCATGCATTCTCTCATGGTTGTGTCTAGGAGTTGTTCGTTGCGTGTCAAGCGGCGTGGCGATCGCTGCCGCTGTGGGTGCAAGATGCCGGGCACAACAACATCGAAGCGTTCCTGGGGTATGACAGTCCTCCCCCCTTGATGGGATGCTCATGGTGATGACGAATGTAAGGACACAAGGCGACGCGTTCTTCGTTCATCTTCGAGACTTCATCGCACTGTGTCATGCCACCAACGAAGTCCGCGCCGCCGACGCCAAACTTGGCGGCGACCCCGCGCCACCCACCGCCACACAGACGACCAACGTGTTTACTAGTATGGTTTAGCATGACCCGACCCAAGTTATAATATTGATATAATTGTCGATTTGATACAAATTTGGGAGGACCAAACCGACAACACAATGAAATTTCACTCGAAAGCACAATAACGTTAAGATCTTGTTATTACATGGCCACGTTCATAAAGCGGTGCTTCTTGGAAGGAGTCGTCGAATCAAGGTCCATGGATAGGACTACTTTGGCAGACTTGTTCGTCCCCACGGGAGGTGACGATGGCGGAATGTTCTCGTTGTGCTGCCCAGATCCTTGCCGTAATCCGCCGCCCCGACCCCGCTTCTTGGTGAATTTAGCCAGCGCCGCCCGACACTCGGCCACTTCCGCCTCTAGCCGCGCGGTCTCGTCTGTTTGTTGAACCACCAAACGCTCCATGACAGTGTACAGAAGCTGACTCCCGAGTTTCCCGTCCACGAGCTCCCGACCGATGAAATGCTCGACGGCACTGTGTAACGCACTCAATGCAGGTCGCGTGATCGGCAGCGTCGTGAGCGCCATCCACATCTGCAGCAACACGTTGCGGGACACCACGTACGGCGTCGCGATCTCCCGCGACAGCGCGACCTGCATCTGTGCGTCGTCCAGCCGCACGTAGCCGTCGTCTGAGGTATCCCACATCGCATCTTCGTCGGCATATTCGGCATCATGCGCGCCCGAATCGTCCGCGTCCGAGAACTCGCCTTCGCCATACGCGGAATCGTCAAAGTATTCCTCACCGTCGACAGTCCCTTCGTCGTCGGAGCACTCGTCGTCAGAGGATTCGCAAATGTCGTCGTCGTCTTGGTCGCTCGCATCGTTTTCGTCTTCGCTGTCACGAGCTGAGTCCTCGCCCTCAACAATATCGTCAAAGCCGTACAGCTGAATCCGAGACGGGTGCACCGACAGGGCCGTGGCAATGTCCTTGGCATACACGGTCAGTCGTCGGTCTGCTTCCATGCTCGCGATCGCCGCCTTCTGTACATCGCGCACGAACTCGGCGAATGCTTGTTGCACTTTCTGCATGGAAGCGTCAGTTCCGACCTGAATGCCGGCGCGGCACATGAAGCGCTGCACGTCGCGGGTCCCCAGCATCCGGCAGAGGTACGACAGGTGCATTTTCGTGTCGTTGTGGTGGGAACGCGCCAATACGCCAATACGACCGAAACCCGCCACAATTGATTAGCAAATTCAAACCTTTTGAAACATTAATACTGGTACACAATTTCTTGAAATATTAGTATTCATTCACTATTATTTAATACAAATCAATATTAAATAATAGTGAATGAATACTAATATTTCAAGAAATTGTCGAAACATTCGTCAAGGTGGAATATTGTGCTTTTTAGTGAAATTTCGTGTTGTGGCGTGGTTTCTCGTTGGAATTTAAATCGATTTGATTGGCTACTTCAGATGAGTTCAAAATTATTGTAGTAATCAAAACCTTCTCAATGAAATTCAACCAATCAGATCGATTGTGGATCGGTTTGGTCAGCATGATTCGATTACCCCTCCCCAAATTTGTATCAAATCGACAATACATCAAAATTGTTCTTTTTTAATGAATATTGTTGCGAAATTCTGTATAGTCGACAAATCGAACGATTATGACATTTTCGACTTTGATGTAGCCATGAAGGACACTGCTTTACGTTGGAGAATCTCCAATATAAGCAGTACTGGCCCCTTTAGCCCGTTTCATATTTTTGTTCACCGCAGCGAAAGGCTAGCTCGACGTACAGATGTAGATGCAGCCAAGCTGTACATACTGTACGTCTCACACAGTACAGTACTAACAAGTAACTGGCCATAGCATTTGATTCATATCACAACCGTACCTACTGTACGTTGTTGACTGTACAAGGCATCATATTAGTGAGCAGAACGTAGCAATCAAACCACTGTTCTATGGGAGAGCATCTAGCCCCATACGAGAGGTGCTGTCTCGTAAAGCAGCCAGACACTAAGAGCAATATGGAGGACACGAAGACTCGGCGTCCTTGCAGTTCGAAATCTCAACTTCAACCGAAGCCTTTCGAAGCGTGGTAATTTCGCATACAAACTAGAAGTATACTGGAATGATGGTCATTGGATGATTGCAATTTAAAATATTACATACTGTATTGAAGCTTATTTTGAGTTTTTAATTAAACGACTCGCAGAATGGCGGTCGAAGTTATAGCAAGACAACGCCAGATCTTACGTTGAGACTTGCCTGGAGAACGTTTCATTTTGCAAGTTTTGCTATGGAAGAACATCAGTCCATCGCCGACGAACCTCGCGTACCGTGTGATGGCGCATGGAGCGAAAGCCATGCGCAAGCCGTCTCGACCTTGGATGCAGACTATGACGACAACCAATACGACACCCTCTACGAAGACCCCCGCGGCGATGACATCCTGTCCCAAAGTCCTTTCTTCAACTCGTGGATGCAGTACCCAAACCTCACGAGTCAATTATACCTCGATGTGGCGAGCAATCGCGTGATCCAGGTGGGGTTCCATGTAGTCTCATCCCTCGTACGTCGATGGACATGTTGGCAACTCAATTGGAAGACCGAGACGTTGCGGTCGTTCCTGGAAGTGCTCGTATGGACCAGCGTAACTGCCGTCGCGTACAGCGTACACCACGACGTCCTTTGGGCGGCGCAAATCGGTTTCTCTGTCGGACTCGCCATGTCCATTTGCGATGAAGTGTTTGTGGCAGGCGCCAAGTCTGCGTTTCAGTGGATCCAGCAAGATCCCCACAGTGCGTTGGTGCTGCAACGATGGGGCTTTGACGTAGGCACTCCCGCACCTCTCTCTGTGGATAAGGGCATGTCGGTCAAACCGGCGAGCAGCGACGACGTCCTTCTCATCAAAAACGTCATATTTGGTGCCATGGCCTTGGAATCCCTCCGACATGTATACCTCGGCTCGACGCATGACATCCAGCAATTCGCTGGTCTGGCCACTGCCATGGGGGTCGCATATGTCCTCGTTGGCGAGTTATTCTGCCTGTGGCTGCCCACACGTCGCCTCGGCCTCACGGTGCAGTCTCGATGGACGCACATTCCCGAGAACTGGAACGCGCACTTCCTTCGGTCGTTGGTTGAAGTCACGTGCTGGGTAGCGTCCCTCGTGTACGTGTACTGCACCACTGCCAGCGTGGTGCACGCCGTCGGGTGGAGCTCTGTCCTGGGCATTGGCTTGTGCATCGCAGGCGGGTTGGATCCGTTGACACATTCATCTGCATCCAGCGCCGACGACGACGTTGTGTCTACCTATTGGTCGCGATGGGCGGGGGGGTCGGCATGGATGGATTGCGCCAGCGCCTTGCTATCGCTCGACCAAAAAGTGGACTGAGATCCATCGTTCGTGACCACGATGACATCACAGACACCACACGGCTACATACTATCGATAGAGTATTGATAACCAAATTACACACACTTTTGTGTCACTCTAGACTGCATTTTTACTGTTAATAGGTTAACGTGAACTGTAGTTAGCTAGAGAATTACATTGGGCGTACATATATTAATAATGAGGATATGTAGCTATTAATAGCTCGGGTAGCAAAAATATCATTTGTTAAATGTTTTGTGTGGAATATGTAGAATAGTGCCAAATATTGGACTGTGAGTCATACAGCATTTAGACTTGTACTAACTATACTATACAAATATTACTATATATCTGGTTTGCCCACTGGGCCAAATGAATCGTTTGGATTGGCTGAAATTCGACAGGACGTGATTTTATTGGCGTAGGTGGTTCTTTAATCCGTTCCATGTAGACATTCGATTCTGGTGACGTGTCCAGTTTTGAATCGATATGACAATAATATTATGGGAGTCGTCTTCAAAAACCGTGGCGTAACAAAATTATATTTTGCGCCACTGTACCCAAGTTGCTTTATATTGGTCAAAACTGTCCAATTCTCTTGTTAACAAGTAGAAGTAGTAAAAGTAACCAATCCGAACGCATTGGAAAGAAATCAGACCACCTATCCATTTCGATCAGGTTTTACTGACATTTTCGGGGGTACAGATCCATAACGTACGTATACGGTAGTTTTTTTTAAGTCTTTAGGCATGGATTACTACGTACCGTTCACAAGTATTAATCCTACTAGTAGTAATAAAAATCAACTTTGCCATACTGTCGCGTGCTGAAAATATGTTTATGGAATCGCATTGCGCTTGAATATTTCTCTATTTTTTTTGCGTATGCACGTTTACTTTCGAGTATCCTCCATCCACGGCGTCGACGACGACGCACCAGTGGCCTTCACAGTGTCCAATGGACCCCGCAGCCCCGTGTGATACAGCGAAAAGATGGCGCCGACGGCCGTGCCGACGTACAAGAGAACATGGGGCGTCTGTGCGACGAGACCGAACCCCACGACGAGCACGATCCAGAGGAAGAGCGGGATGCCTTGATGAGCCACCACTTGGTCCTGGACGTTGTTCATGTAGTCGCGGAAGGCATGCGCTTGACGGCGCGCACCTTCGCCGCCGCCGCACGTCGAGCACAATCGTTTGCAAAACAGACAAAAGTCGCGGGACGGGAGGTTCCGCAGGCCGCAGTCGCACGCGACGACGCGGAACGTGGGCCCCACGACAACGTCGTCTGAGAGGTGGATGGTGTCGACGGTGTCGACGGCTTCAAAGACGGCGCCGACGCCGCCGTCTTCGACAAAGCATTCGGTGCACTGGTCCGGCGCCAACACGATCTGCGTTGATGTTGAGCCGGACGTCGGTGGCCGTTGTCGGACGCCGCCTTGCAGCCGCGCAAAGACAGCGTCCGGTGGAAGCGGGAACATCCACTGCCGCGACAGGTAGACGTGCGCGACGCACGGCAGCAGCAGCGCCAGCGACCGTAGCACATGCAGCACAAACGACAGGTCGAGTGATCGCGGGAACTGCACCACGTCCGCAAAGTACACGAGGTCGCCAATCCAGCACGGCGACACGCCAAAGTAAAACGCAAACAACGTGCGTTGGTACGTCACGTGCTGGACGGATCTCGACGACGTCGGCGCCACCAGCGCGGACAGCACGAGGAGGACGTGGATGGCCAGACATGCCAGCACCGCCAGCGCCAGCTCCCTAGTCGGATGCACGCCCGCGCGGAAGAAGACGTGGCCACCGGCGACGACGGCGGCGCCAAAGCCGGCTAGCGCGAGTCGAGACGTCAATAATGTCAATAGACGCGGCGAAGAAATGGTCACACGAGAAGGCGGCATCATGCGGACGAACGCCGTCAAGGCGAACGTGACGACATGGAGGAACCCGAGCAGGTACAAGTAGCAGAGCAGGACGATGTACGCGCTGTAGAGCTGGTCTAGGGCGTACAGGGTGGCAACGAGTGCGACGGCGGCAGTGCCCACACCCGCCATTTGGATTCCGCGAGACTGGTGGCCAAGGTGCGCCTGGCGCAACGAATGGTTTACAAGGGCCGACCAATGGACGGACGGGGCGAGCAGCGCGAGGAAGGTCGGGATGGTGTCTGGACGATCCAGCTGCCACCACTCAACTTGCGTGGCCAGCATGGCGAGGGCCACAAGCGCCAGCAGTGGAAACGGCACCAAGTACTGCGTACGGAAGATGTACAAGGGTAGTTCAAACGAGAGGACGCCGCCGGTCTGCGCCACTTCGTCGGTCGTAAACCCCCGGGACACGTGCAGGTGGTGGTCCCACACGTCGCCATCCGGCCCGAGGAGCGCGTCGTGCAGAACTACCACGCGGTCGGACGGACTCGTGCGGAGCTGGTGTGTGACGGGGTCCACAAGCCGGATGAGCGCCGTGGACAAGACGCGCATGAACTCGTGGCACCAGAGGATGCACAGGTGATCCATGGACGACTTGACAGCGGGCAGAAGCGACGTGAGGGCGGCAAAACCGTTGGACGGGGGCACGACGTGGGCGATCGAGGCGAGTGACGAGTGCACGACAAAGTCCTTAAGACCCCCGGCCAAGGATACGATCACAACGTCATCCTGGTGGCCGCAGGAAGGGGACGTGGCGTTGGTGCAAGACGGAGGAGGAGGCTGGCGCAGCGAGTTGACGGTGGCGTAGACAGCCGTCATGGCCGCGTCCAGGTTGAACGGCGGCGCCACGTGCGGCGTGCTGAGCGTGACGATAGTCAGGATCGACTGGGGATTGTAGTTGGGCAATGTTAGCGCGGTGCGGGTTACGATGCCCCCCATGGAGTGCCCAATGACCACGACCGACGACGGGCGACGATCGGCTGGCAGGGACGTGTACATGGCGAGGATCTCTTTGATGGCTTCGTTGAGGAAGAAACCTTGCTCGAGGACGAACTGGCCAGCCATTCCCGTGGCTTCTTCGTTGAAATCGAGCAGAAACAGGTCGATGTTGGCATGCAAGTCGGCGAGGTGTTGGCCGAGCGATCGCGCTTGCTTGTAGCTGCCCAGGTGGCCAGGAACGAATAGCACAGGCACCCCAGAGAGAGGTTGACTGTCGTTTCTTTTGTCAGCGCCATCCATGAAGAGCTGCGCGAACGTGTACTTGGCGTACGTGTGCGCCATCGACGGGTCGACAGCGTGGAACGGCAACGACTTGTAGATGGGCGCCGAGTACGTCATACCGCACGTGTTTGAGCGAGGAATCGATCGAATATCAATGAAGAACGGGATCGAGGTGGCCACATAGAGAAACATAAGGCCATATTGGACCCATACTGCGATCGGCCACGTTGCCATGCTGCGCTGACGGCTTCCTCAGGGCAACAACGGAAGACGGTGGTTGGGATTGGCCCGCCCCTTAGCCAAGGCAGGCTTTTCATTGGACAAAACTTCGATTTTTGAATCGACACATTTCATTGGACAAAGTTGTCCGGTTTCACAATATCACCATGACATGTCATGCTCCATGCAACAAGCTTGTCGTCGTGTGGGTGATCACTTGGCCTTAACGTTATTACATTCGTCGAGCGTCAATATCCTCGGTGACTCTGTTCCTCCTCCACGCGACTATCGTGTGCAGCGACGACAGTAGTTGTCATAGAATCATCGAGATAGCGGCCTGTGCGGTGGTAAAATGCCCACTTGGTCTGATCAGGGACGCTGTACTGCCGTTGCAACTCCACTTCCTGCTGTAGGGCTTCAAGCTTGAGCCGCTCGGCAAACTCATGCTGAGCTAGTTGATGTCTTCGGGCCTCTTCGTCGTTGCGTTGACCGGCGTGCGCTTGAATATATCCTTGCAACGCCTTGGCCGTGCGGTGTTGGTCATCCGCCCTCTTCAGGCGATATATTTCCCTCTTCACGGCACTCTTCTTCTCGGCTTCCACAACGTTGACTGCATACCTTTCATCCAGTACATGCTCCAGCGCATTCGTCTCGGACGAAGTGGCGGCGGCGGCGGCGTCCCTAGCGGCTTCTTGTGCCGCTTCCTGCTGTCGATGCGCCTCCCGCACATCGTCGTCTGCATCGTCATAGAGTGTCGGGTGGCCTTGGTACTTAAACTCGAAAAAGTGCGTTTTCACAGGTTTTTCAAACCGCGGCTGCCATGAGTCGCTCAATGTTGTACGGACGGCGTCGAGGAACGCTCCGACGAGCAAGACGTGTGCCATGTACTCGTCGGCATGCGCATTCCATGTGGCCACGACGACGGGGTAGTAGATGGCATGGTCCTGGGTCCATTCCAAAGCTTCCGGCTGCGAGTACCCGTGTGCAAACTGCGTGCGGTACCGATCTTGCAACCGCCATCGAGTGCACCATTTCTCCGGCAGTGTCGACATCGGGTTGCCATCCACATGCAGCACCTATACCACTCCGACCATCATCATGATGCCAGCAAACCCATCGAAACAAATAGCTTCATTTTCATTCGACAGTACCTCCAACGTCGGCAGGAGCGAGCTCAGCTCCATGGGCAAGGCGTGCAGTGCATTGTGGTACAAGTCCAGCATCTGCAGCCCCGCCATCCCGCCGATGTCCGCCGGCAGGAACTCGAGGCGGTTCTTCGCCATATTGAGGCTCTCTAGGCGAGTAAGTGCGCAGATCGCTCGGTCCAAATGCGTGAGATTGTTGTGGCTGAGGTCGAGCACCCGCAGTGCCATCCAGTCCACGACAGTGTCTGGCAGCGGGGACATCAGACGGTTGTACTGCAGATGCAGCGTCTCTAGAGCCATCCACATGCCCACAGACGATGGAAGCGTCTCGAGCGCGTTGTCGGACACGTCCAGCGTACGCAGCGCATGGCAGAATCCGAACTGTGAGGGTAACGCCGTCAGCTTATTCCTCGAGAGGTCGCAGTGGCGAAGCGCAGAGAGGGCCCCGATGTCGAGCGGCAGCTCCACGAGGGCGTTATCCCGCAGGTGGAGGGTGTGCAAGTGAACCAGACATCCGATCTGACGTGGCAAGCTCACGAGGCTGTTGTGGTTCAGGTGGAGTGCTTCCACTTGGCGCCAGCAGCCGATCTCGTCCGGCAGCACCCGGATCCGATTGGACGATGCATCCAGCATGACCAGTTCGCCCCAGCCCCCCACCGCGTCCGGCAGCGCCAAGAGCTCGTTGTGAACGATGGACAGCTGCTGCATCGCCGTGAGCCCGGCCACGGACGGCGGCAAGTGACTCAGCATGTTGTGACCCATGTCGACGACTTGCAGAAGCGGATGGCTGCCGAATTCGGTGCTCAAGTGCTTGAGCGAGCACTTGGACACGTCGAAGGTCACGAGCGACGCGCAATCACGAAACGTCAGCGGAAGGCGACTCAGTGGATTGCCGACGAGGTCCATGTGCGCGAGTTTGGGGGCGGCACTCAGGTCCATCGGGAGCGTTGCGAGGGCGTTGTCCCCCACGTACAACACGTGCAGCATCTTGAGGTTCGCCCACGAAACCAAAGCCTTAGTCACCTGGTTGGGATTATGGTCGGTGGCGAGTCGCAGGCTTTGCAATGTATTGGACGACAAATCTGCGATTTCCAGCTGATCGAGCCTCGAAAACGAAGCTGGGAGGGAAGTGAGCCGGTTGCCGCGAACATTCAGGAGGCGCAACGCATGCAATTGCCCAATGTCGGCCTATAAACATGCTGCGTCATTGCGCGGTCGTCGAGCATAGGTCAACGTACCGGCAACACTTCGAGGTGGTTGAAACTCACGTCCAGTTTCTGAACCGAATCCAAGTTGTATGCAAAGTTGTCTGGGAGGTGGGTCAGCTTGTTGTGCGCCAAGTCGACAATGACCATATTCGACAGCTCCAACAACGCCGCTTTGCCATGGAACAACTCGGGTGGAATGTCCGCCAGCCTCCGATTAGCAAGCAGGAGCTCATCATCTCCGCGGGCGGCGCGCCGCGCGGCCGTGTCATCTCGCCGCCGCACCAGTGCTTCCGTTCGAACACTCATGAGCATCTGCTTGCGGCGCTCTCTGTCCGCGTCCACTTGCGCCACCAGCCGCTTCTCTTCTTGAACCAGCTTCACCTTGGCATTACGCGCCCGCCGTCTTTGCATCTTCTCTTCGCGCTCCCGCAGTGCCTCCTTCGTCTTGAGCTCCACCTCTTCGCCTCGCTTCAAGTGCAGTATTTGACGCTGGGCCGCTTGTCGCTCCGCCGCTCGAAGTCGGCCAATTTCCAACACGACATCCCGAGCGGCTACGGCGGCCGCGACTTCTTCCGCTGCTTGCGCCGCCAACGCCGCCAGCAAGTGCGCTTGTAACTGCCGCGTTCGTTGCCGGGGATGAAGTACTCGGTTCATGAGTCGAGGGGGAGGCGGCAGTGGCAACAGCTTGCGCTTGGCACATTCGGCGGGGACATCCACAAGGGCTACCCATGCTAGCTATGTCAACCAGTATGGAAAAAACTATCATGGAATGACGAATATATCTATGTGCATGAGGATATTTCCTACCTGGAACGCCTCGAGGGTGATTAATCGAGTGGTCGACGGAAATCGGCGCAAGATGGCAGCTTTGGGCGCTTGGACGCGCAATGTTTTAAGCGCGAGTTCGTACTCGAGGAGGTTCAAGCAGTTGTCGCGGTCCTCTGGGTGGTTTTTGCCGTTAAGAAGCAATCCAAGGGAACTGTAACGAAAGTAAACGCACCGTCGAACGCGGCAAAGACATCGTCCGGCGTCAGATGTGGCGTCACTCGCCTTGTTTTGAGGTAGTTGGTCATGTACAGCGCCGCCACAAACTCCCTATACATACCACGTCGACATCAAATGATCAGCAGCGATAATGACCAACTTGGGCGGACATACTCTTCGTCGATACTGCCCCTAGTCGTCCCTGTCAGCCCACCACATCAGATTATATATGAGGGTGCCAAATAATATATCATATCTCGCACCCCTTGTCTTGGTCGCAGAGGGCGAAAAACCGTTTGGCTTGTGGTTCCAAGAGGTTGATGTGGCGATACGCCAACATCCGTTGAAATTCTATGGCCATGAAGATGCATCAATTGTGACCATGTCGTGTATTTTCAGGTTTATGTACTTACCGGCAAACTCGATGGTGCCGGAACGATCTCGATCAAACATGCGAAACAGCTCGTGAGCGCAGGCTTGGAGGGTCGGGATGTCCAATTCAGCATGCTGTAGATTGTTCACGTCTTCGTGGGCGATATCTTCGTCCTGCGCTTGCTTGGCGGCGAGGAGACTCGCCTTGTCCGCCAACGACTGCTCCAATGCAGGCGTCATATGGGCATACGGCACCAAGTTGGCAAACAAGTGCAAGTCCGCGACGACGCTGGGGGGTTTAGCTGTCGCCGGCTTGCACACAACGATGGACTGGATCCTGCGCACGTCCATGATGTGGTCGAGTGGGTGGTCAAAGCTGCGGAGGTGGCATCCCTTGAGCTGGCCATCGGGACCGTCGGCGAGCAAGAGGCGCTCTGCAGACCGCTCAAATGTGCTGAGGAACGATTTCGTGAGCGACGTAACCTTGGTGCGACAGAGTAGCACGTAAAGGTGTTGGCGCTTGACGTTGGGAACCACTAAGTCCAACATGCGCAGTACGAAGCGACCAGATGATCCTAGTTGAAGTAGCTGCATGAAGCGTGGCTTGTTAGTGACAGATGATTTCACATGAAGACAAATACCTGGACTTGGCCACTACCCTGCTCACTTTGAACGGAGTCTGCGACCGGGCGGGAGGGGATCCTGGACGGCAGAGGTCCTGCCGACGCGCATGTTAAGACACCTTCCAATAGAATCCTGTCAGGTGGTGGCGGCGGCGCCATGTACTGTTAGGTGGCCGTTACACCAGAAGAGAGCGTTTCAAAATGTTCATAGAAAGGACGTGCTTCTATATTGTCTGTCTTACTGTTAACAATATACCGAGGCCAAAAAGCACACCAGGGACTACTACGCAGTTCCCTATGTGGATAACGTACTGTATATCAAATGTTTAAAGGTAATCAATCACCCATGTTACTTCGTAGTAGTGTGATTGTAAAGTACACATATTATAGCGTCTATATGAAAGGTCTTATTGCCAACAACAGTCGATTCAGTGAATTGGGCGAATCTCGTTCTTGGCGTCATTGCCGATCGGTCCATGGAGAAGCGTGCGTGCCACTGCATTGCGTGAGTCTGCCCTTCCATCCATGACTATCGCTACCGCCGGAGATATGGCGGGACCTGATTGCGCTTCTCCACATCGCCTAGGCAAATCTTATGAAACTGTCGGTTACTCAACGCACCAATCAGGTATCGTTCTAAACATGTCCACCAATGGCGTTCCAGACGAGACGTAGAATGAGATACGAACCATCCTCCGTCTCGCCACGGTGGCACACTCTAGCTGCCACTCCACGGTTTGGAGCAGCGAACACTACCTACTACTGTCATAGCCACCAGCCTCATGCTACTCCGGTCGCAATCATCTTCCATTGAGGGATCCTACCACGTCGGTTCTAGTGGCGACGCCATGACCCCGCCGCTCTCGTCAACCTACAACTTTGGCACGGATGACATGCTTATTGACCCACGACTGTTTGTGTCACAAGCCCAATGGGTCGACAAGAGGTATGCAGTCAATGAACTATTCCGTCATTTCTCTATTTCATTTCTTCCATATCTCATTGACCTTCATGCAATGTGTAAACAGCACTCGAAGTCGCTGCCTCGTGTGCGTGCGAGACTTCAACCCAGTATGGCGAAAAAAGCACACGTGTCGCATGTGTGGGGACGTGGTGTGCAGCCGCTGCTCGGTCCACAAGCATGTTGACCTTCCGTTGAAGGACAACCTGTTCCGAATCTGCACTTGGTGCTTTCTCCGCGTTAGACAATCGCCGCCCACGTTGGTAGCAGTGGCGGCTGTCAAGGAGATTGACGATGACCAGTTTCTCGACAGTGATTACACGCGGTCCACAGAAGACGTCGACGACGACCAGTCGGAAGACGATGGCATGATGTACAACGTCGTCGAGGACTTTGTCGACCCAGATTTGGAGCTGTTAAAGATGCGGGAACAGGAGCTGGAAGCCCAAGTCAAAGCTAGTCGACTCAAAGTTGATGCGTTGGAGGCACAAATTCAAGAGTCTGAACGCCATGTCAACTTGACCACCAAGCAGCAGCGCGAGCTCGCCGAGGCCCGCGCGTTGATTGCCGATCTCCAACGGCAGCTCCAGGAGAAAGAGACCGCGCACTACACAGCCCGCATGACGATCCATGAAGATGCATTCCACCATCGTATGTCATTGACTGGTAGCACAAGTAGTAGTCGGCGACCGTCCAGCGCAGTTGCACCCCCCCTTCGCCACCCCCCGCCGCCTCCATCGGCCCCATCTGCAACGTCAGTAAACACGACAAGCCACGAAGAAGACGCGGCGCGCTTGCGGCGCCAATTGGCGAAAATGACCCGGCAAATGACCCAAGCTGGCCTCAACGTCGCAGACGACATCCCGTACGAAGAAGCCAAGCAGCGCGTGGCCGAGATCTCTCGGCGCATGCAAGAGATCGGGTCGGCCGAAGTCGTCGTACTTGACAATCCGAGACAACAGGCGGCGTTACGGAAGGAGTACTTCCAGCTGGAACAGGATATGGAAAAGTACAACACGGCGCTGATGGTGTCTGACGAGTACATGGCGGAGCAAGCCGCGGTCGCCAAGCGGTGGGAAGATCGGCACGCAGTCGCCAACGAAGCCGCGCTGCGGACGCTGCGGAGTTGCGTGCCCGTGGACATGGCCATGCTGAGCGAGAAGCAACTGACGGCGCAACTGAACTCCCCTGACTTGGCTCGGAAACTCAAGCGGGCGAACGTGTTGGGACTTTGTCGCATGGACCCATCGACGATCCAGCGCATGCACCCGAGCCTCGTGGAAGGCTACCGCGTGGTGGGGCTGAGTGTGCTGGAGCGCAGGGCGCTGCACGTCGTGTTGGCGGCGCCGATGGCCGAATGGAAGAAACAAGCGAAAGACGAACTGGCCAAGCGAAAACTGGCGTGGGCTGTAAAACTTCGGGATGCGCTGGTCGCGGCGATGGCAACGTACGACAGTCACTTGGGTCACGCGACCGAGGCGACACATGTGTGCAACCAGCGCCATCAGTGTCCAGTGACGTTGGAAGCCAAAGCGCGCGCGTTGTATGCAACCGATTTGGGGTACCCCCAAGACGCTGTGTATTACGTCCACGAAGTGGTGCAGGCCACGTCGTCGTCATCACCATCCGACCCCCCTTCCCAGCGCGACGACGCCGCGACGGAAGGCGGGACGCAAGAGCGTCTCGCCCTCGTTAAACGGCACTACAAGGGCAACGTACTCCAGGTGACTCAAGCCATGGGGGCCATCGAAGAAATGAACGCTACACTGCTGGCGTTGGCGGCGGCCGAGACGGCGTTGGTGCTGCAACATGGCAAGGACACGGAGCGGTTGGCGGCGCTCGTGCTGTCTGCGCGAGATGCGATAGCATCCATGGCCAAACGCAGCGGTATCTGCCTCGTGGGCAAACGAGATCGGGCCAAAGACAAGGTGGACTGTCGCAGCAGCGTCGAAGCGAGTGTGGCCCAGATGTTGGCGGCCTATGTAGACGACATGCGCGACGAAATGGAAGTGCACATGCTGTGTGTGGACCCCGTGCACAAGTGCGTTGCGTGGCTGCAAGCGCTGGCGTCACTCGTACCCGACGTGAAAGCCCGAAATGCCGCCAAGATGATTGAGACCGGCGAAGCCATGGCAGGACACTCGGCAGGGGTCAAGCGGACCTCATGGAAAGACATCAAAGTTGGCGCGACAGGGGTTCACGCGGACGGAAAAGCTCGCCTTCGGTCGTGTCCGGCGACGTTGCCACCACACAAGGCAGCAGGAAATGGCGTAAAGCCTGGACCGCCGTTGAATTTCCTCGAGGAATTGAAAAAAGCTAAAGCCGCCAAGGCGTCGACCCCGGCAAACGACATGCTGGCGAAGATCCGCGCCCGTCGCAACAGCAAGGCCGAGTCGACAGAACAAAGTAGTAGTGACCGAACAACGAAATTTGCAAACACAGCATAATGAAAATAGCGTGGCAATTGACTCGAAAACCTGTCCACAATACGTATTCGAGTGGAAAAATATATTTTAGGTAGTGAAGGGAAGGGTTAGACAGTCCAAGTCGAGATATGGTGGTGGAACGTGAGCTGTGCCGTCACTGCCAGCATGGCTTTGACTGTATCCAGAGGTAGTTCATTCACGACGAGGCCATTGATAGCCATGAGTCTGTCTCCAACTTGAACGCGTTCTTGGGGCATCGACGATGCGTGAACGTTTAGAACAATCAGCACCAAGTTGTGCTTGCAAAACATGGGTTGGAGCGTAAGTCGTGTCGACATGTTGACGTCCCACTCGACGGTGTATTCTTGAGGGGCTTGATCATCGTCGTCGGTGAGGAGGGTATTGTTTGCCGAATTGGGGGGCTCAGTACGGGGGGGAGGGGGGTTAGCTCTATCCAATAAAAGTATAAGGTGCAGTCGTATGGCATCGGTCGGGTCGTACCCGTGGCGGCGAAAGACCATGGACACGGGCTTTTGCGTGGCATTGAGAAAGTCGAGGCATGTGGCGAGCCCAAACGTTTGCATGGGAACGCCAGCCACGGAGACCAGCACGTCGCCCACAGCCAGACACCCGTGCGACGCCGACAGTCCGCCCCCTGTGCAGAGTTTGATCTCCAAGTGCCCACTTGTCGGATGTTTCTGCAACGCAATGCCAAGCGGTTCACCCGACCACCGCAACATTGTGAACACGTTGTGTGTTGTCGAGAGTGGGAATAACTCGGTTTTACCCAGGCTCTCCCGCGCGTCGTCTATGTCAACGTCGCTTGCGGGCATCGAATGCTGCTGCAATATGGGCACCATCGATGTCGGCGGGGTATACAGGCTGGTCCTGCTGCTACTAGTATTACCATAGCCCCATATTGGCGACGACAACAGAAATGACTCGTCGGAAGGAGATGCATGCGGCACGACTCCCTGGCTGGTAGAGTCATGGACAAGGACACGTCGAAACTGAAGGGTCGCAGGCTTTTCAACGTGTCGTAGCCGATCGATGGCAGCGTCAAATCCGAGGAGGATCACCGATGTTTCATTGATAGCCACGAGTTCGTCGCGTGGAAGGAGCTGAGTCAGCTGCGGATTCGTATGCCAGTCGACTTCGTCGGTGAATGCCTTGACAACGGGTCGGTTCTCAATGTTCTGAAGCATCAATCCAAGGGCACCGCTCTGCCACTGTACGGTGAGAATGCAAACGTTGGTGGGATGTTTGTGCATGGAATGGATGGATGGCACTAAAGACAGGTTCGTACATCGTCGTTCTCACATCGAATGGATTTGGGACACGATACCTGAAGACGGCACGTGACTCGGTGGGACAATGATATGGCTACCGTCACGCAGCGCCACCGTCGTGCCGTTCAGGAAATCGATTTCCTCAACACCCTGCACATGTAGATGTATCAGGATATACACAACGCGTGACCAGCCATGTTTGCACCTCGTCAATGCACACGGAATCAACCAAACTGTCCAAATGAAACGATCTGCTATGACGAGGACTTGCCCAACGTTCTTGTGCTCGATGATCCACGTCAACGCTCATGCTGCGTCGAGTGTAACTTTGTCCCGACGTGCCCAGCTTGAACGGGTACTTTAACAAATTCGCGAGGCGCTGGGCGGTCGATGGATCGAGCGATGGACGCTCCTTGCGCGCTGCTACCTGCGATGGCGTCATGGAGACTTCATGTGACCGCCTTGATGGTTGAGCACCCTGTCGGAAGTCACTGCACGAGTGTCGCATGAGAAATGATGTCCATCGAGCTAGCGTGGTGGATTGTTGGAGCCGTGCCTCTGCGGATTTGAATTCTGTGACTTGATTGGTTCGCTTAAATCACAATAATTAGGTTTGATTGGCTGAATTTCGGAGCGATCATTTGTGCGGAAAGCGTCATAAGAACGCAACCAGCGCATCCACCCCACTGATTTCGCACGATCCCCTACATGCATGTCACCGATGGAATCGCCTCACCATCAACTAATGACTTGGCCCAGTTGCAAGCCCAAAGCAGTCGAAGGCCGCTCGACGAGTAGGTTGGTTTGGCGTCGAACCTTGCTCAGCACAGAACACCGCCGTTGAGTACCTACAAGTCACCAGAGTCAAGCACACCAGTATGTAGTCCAGCCGAATTACGATCCCAATGCCCAAATTTATGTTGTGAATTGGGCGGAAGACACGGCACTTGGCATCGCTTTTCACCCGCACATTACCCAAGCCACTGTTGTCAAATCACGGCGATCTCACAACAACACTGTTACTTGGAATACGACCATACTGCTCAATGAATATTCTCACTTGTGTACTGCCCCAGTTGCAACATGAACGTCAAGGACTCCGCCGCATGGCGGCAGGCTCATCGTTTGGCAGCTTATCAGCTGTAGATAGCCTCAACATTGACGGCGGCTCTGAAGTGGCATGATCTGCTTCGTCGTCCTTTGTGAGCACCGTGTCAGCTTTTGATCGCCTCTTCATCCTTGCTACCATCAATCAGCTCCACCAACTATTCCTCTGTGAGTCTCCGACAACATGGCGAATGATTCCTCGGATCAAGACGAGTGCACGATGACTGACTTCCGCCCTGCCTACAGCGCTTACCTTTGACGACGCGGGAGAAACCGCCATAGCCGAATCGGTTCTCGATTCTGTCTTGGTACAGACAGACACACCCAGCCAAGGCGTCTCCTCTCGCCTGCCCCGCCAATAACCCCAGGGCTCGGGCACTTCGTCTACCACATCTTGGGCACCTTGACAGCTCCCAACAAACGGCGGCAGCCCCCCCCTGACATCAACCACCGATCCCTTGGCTCACAGCACAAGTCGTTCATCCACACATCACCAACCCAGCCCACTTCGAAACATCCTACTCGGTGGTGTGGTCCACTGCTTCGCTCAGTCTTCCGTGACTGCGTGATCATGTGGTGAGTACAAGTAACCACTACGTTGACCGAGTTTGCCGTAAAATCAATATGATGTTGGCTATCACCACGGTGGGCAGTTGCTCTGGAGATTAAACATATATGAACATTTCACATGGACTCATGTTAACTTATACGTCTTCGTCGTCGCCCATTCGCCGAAACACGAGAAACGTGGGCTTGCGGGCCAGCTGAATCACGTGCATGGCAGCGGTCAGCGACACTTTGGACACTTGGACGTCCCCCGCGGCCATGAGCACATCGCCGACGCGGATGATGGTCGACTGCGCCGCCAGTCCGTCGCCCGTCAGCCGCATGACGCAGTTCTCGTCGTCGCTGTTCTTGGTCACGGCAATACCAAGGGGTCCGCCTTCCCATACGATCGAGTACACTGTCGAGTGTTTATTCGACGACGTCAAGCGCTTGGGCATGTATATGCTGCCCCGTCGTGGCGTTGCCGGATCCAGTAATCCATCCGAGACGCTGCTACTCGAGCTTCCGCCGCCAAATATTCCCCCCAGCGCATTGTCATAGCTACTCGTCGACATGTCCAGCGTCGGTACACTGGCCGAGCTCGCGCCGCTGTGGCGCGCAGTCTGCTGTTGCCGCCGTAAAAACACAAGCGACACGGGCGTCTTGGCGTGTTTGAGCACCCGAGACGTTTCTGGCAGCGTACTGTACTGCACGATCGTGGTACCGCATTGGACGAGCACATCGCGTGGTTGGATGATGTCCGAGTTGCCCGCGAGGCCGCCCCCCGTGAGCGCTTTGACGGAAATCTCGTCGTTCTTGTTGCGTTTGATGGCGAGTCCCAGCGGCCCGCCGCGCCACAGGATCGAGTACAGCGTTTTGGGGTCGTTGGTTGTGGAATCTCGATCGGCGGCCGTGGCATGCGTCGACGGCGGCGGCGTCGACACGGACGAAATCGACCGCGCAGACATCGACCGAGACGACGTCGACAGGATCGGCATGTCTTCAGGCGCACTCGTCGAGTAATCCTCTTGGATCGAATCATCATCGTCAATGTCATCAATGTCGACGTCGTCGTCTTCCAGTGACACCGTCGAAAGATGAGGAGGAATAGCAGCATTAGCAGCAGCAGTAGTAGCAGTAGCGTAGTGCGAGTCGGAATGCGATCGACGCAGCGGCGCGTGACCAGGTAAAAAGTCTATTGTCATGGACCTACTAGACAGAATGTCTGCTGCCGACGACGACGAGAACGACCCGGACGACGACTGGTAGTCGGACAGGTCCAAGCTGTCGAGGGAGGACGCGTCGCTTTGAGAGGTGGACATTTGGCAGCCGTACAGCGGCACCATGGACGTGGCGGCGGTCGGAGTGTGGTGGGTTGGCGTGAGGTTTTCCCTTGCAATGTCCCATTCCACCGACGAAGTAGACGGCGGCGTGGGCAGCTCCCGCGGACTTGAAAATTCACTTTCAACGACTTCGTACCCATACTCGCCGCCGTCGGCATCGTTCCGGTGGGCACGGTCGTATTCGAAGGATGGTGTTTGCGTCAGATCCTGACTGGACACGTCCGTGTACGGCACTTCGAACACTCGGTCGTGTCGGGGCAACTTGTACGCAAAGCTATCTTCGGAAAAAGTGGTGTCGCGGGGGAAGTCGGGCAAGTCGGCAATGCTGGCTCCTCGATCGTCAAAGTACACATCACGGGGAGAAGAAACATCGGGGGGATTTGACAGGTCGAGGGTGGGCATCGGAGGTAACGACGACGTCGACGGCGGCGGGGTAATAGGTGGAGTTCCTGCTGTCGGCAGTATGGTCGTGCCAACTGGGGCGGCAAAAGCAGCAGCAGGTGGCTCAATGGCTCCGACAGAGGGCGGCTCCGTCCTCAGCAAGGTTGGGGGGGGAGTCTGTTGTTGAGCAGCAGGGGGCAGGGCGGGGGTAGAAGGAAGGACCAATGCCGAGGGGGGTTGTGTCGGGTCAGCATACGTAAAGTACGGTTCCATCATGGACTGGGTTGGCGGCGTGCCGGGGGGAGTGGCGGGCTCTTGGCCCCACGCGGATGACGACGTCGTGTTGGCCGATTGGGACACGACAATGGACGTACTTTGAGGCGTTGGTTCGTTGAACGAGATTTGGGGCGACACCACCGGGTCACTCGAGACAGAGTGGGTGGGTGAGGCTACGACTTGACGAGTTGGTATCGGTCTGAAAATGACAATCGAAGGCGCGCGGTGGGTTGTTGGAGAGTCTGGTGGGGTGGCGTGGGGGGGTGGCATCGCATGATGCGCCGGCGACGTCGGCGTGGGGTCAACAGACGATGCACTTGTGGGGGGAGTCGTCTGAGGGCCGAACGATACGTGTTGAAGAGGCGACAGCATCAACTGTGGAGGGGTCGAGACTGGTCGTTGGAGTAGCGTCATTGGCGGTGTTTCAGGTGGGGTGGTCCTGTCGGGTACCTCGTGGGGAGACATGACGATTTGACCGGTTCTGCTGCTGGATGCTCCAAGGGATATGTTGAGTTGGTTGGATGGCGACAGTGGCATCGAGCCATGGTCCAAACTCGAGTCCCGCGCAAACGACCACGATGAATGCTCGGCTTTGTCTTCGGTGGTTGGAAGGGGAGATGGCAACGACGGAAGGGTTTCAGGGGGCGCTGAAACCACCAGTGGCGGTGGCGAAAGGGGGGGTTTAGGGGGCGCTGAAACCACGAGCGGCGGCGGCGAAAGGGGGGGTTCAGGGGCAAGTGGACCCGACTCCAACACTGGCGTCTGCGCGCCGTCCTTTGCCGGCATCTCTTGGGGCGGCAAGGCGTTGCTGGTCCTTCGCAAAAACGTCAGCACCGCTGGCTTTTGGATGCACTTGAGGAAATCGACGGTCCCCGCCAAGCCCAATGGTGTGGTGGGGACTCCCATAACGCCCACGAGTAGATCACCCACGGCCATCTCGGGGCACTCTAGAGCCAGTCCCCTTCCCGTGAGCTGCGCGATGAAGATCTCACTCTGATCATTCATGCGAAGGGAGATTCCCAACGACCCGCCCGTCCAATCGACCGAGTACATTTCATCTTGGACGGCGGCAGCGACCGCGAGCGACTGCCTCGGTGACTCGACCGATGGGTAGACACTATCCAAATCCACTTCCGCGGGTTCCAAGGCCGAGGCAGGGGCGGAGGGGGGGGTCGCCGTGTCGAGGCGGGTGGACGACGAGACCCGTCGGCGTCGAAAACGCAGTTGGATCGGCTTGGGTTTCTTCATCTCCACCAGCGCGTCCGAGTACCCGATCGTCCGCACGCGGAGACCGTTGACGAACGCGAGCTCATCGCCCGCTTGGATTTGGGCCAAGTCGGGGTCGGTCGTTGGCTCGGTCCTTTCGCGCACCATGGCGCGGCCGTCGGGGTCGCAATGAATGCGGACGCCCAACTTGCCATCGCGCCACGTCACTTGAAACTCCCCTGGAGGCAGCATCTGTGACGTGGTTTGGTCGGACGTTGACCGTTTGAACGTCAGCGTCAACGGGAAATCCCGCTCTTTGAGACGAGCCACGACGTGTTCGTACGGAGCCGACGTCATGTCGTCCCAATTGATGGCTACCAAGACGTCGCCGACGGCGGCCGCTTCCACGTTGGCCGTGGTTTCAAGGTCCCCCGATGTGATTTTTCGAATGACCGTTCGGTTCGACGATGCATATCGAAGCGACAGCGCGAGCTTCCCTCGGTGCCAAATCACATCGTACGTTTGTGTGGCGGTGGCACTTGGGATGTGTTTGCTGCTTCTGGACGTCATGTACTTGGCCGCTACGTCGTTCGACACTGCGACGGAGGACTCGCGGCGGTGGGTGTGCTCCTGCTGGCCCGCAGTCTGTTTTATCGGCTGAAACACGAGTTCCACTGGCTTTTGTACGGCTTTCAGGAAATCTACCGTACCGGTGAAGCCCAGCGATTTCGTGAGTACACCCGTGATGGACACCAGCACGTCGCCTTCAGACATGATGGCTTGATGGAGCAGCGCCACCCCTTTCTTCTTGAGCTCCTTGATATAAATGTCGTCGACGTCGTTCTTCTTGAGCACAAGACCCAGTGGCCCTTCGCGCCACACCACAGCATACGTGTCTATCTTGGGGCTACTTGAGCGTCCATGGCTGGGCTTGCCTGGTTGTGGAGGCTGTGGAGGATGCGACGGGCGACCTGAAGTAGGGGCCAGCTCGCGCTGCCTTCTTGGCTGCCCCCCTTCGGCGTCGCGTCGAAACCGCAGCAACACTGGTTTCTGGGCATGTCGTAGCGCTGCAATGGCTTGGTCATACCCGATTTCGCCTACTGCGATGTCGTTCACAAAGATGAGTTCGTCCTTGGGCTGTATCTCAGACACGCCTGGGTCCGTGCTCGCCTCCTTGGCATATTCGCGAACCACCGGTCGACCCGCAGCGTCACATGCAATGACCACGCCGAGACGCCCCGACGTCCACACGGCTTCGAACTCATTCGCCTGGAGCGGCGGCATGCGGCTCAGAGACGGCGCGCGCTTCAACCGGGAAATCGCAGGCTGCTGGGACAAGCTCTGGAAGGTTAATGTCATGGGCAAGTCCGCGTGATTGAGGCGGCGCTGCACGTCACCTGGGGACAACGCGGTCACGTCTTCCCAGTTGAGCGCCACTAGCACGTCGCCGAGCGATGCCGACGCTAACCCGGCGGTGGTTTCCTTGGGCAAGTTGGTTTCGATCTGACAAATGGCGATCCGGTGCTTGGCGTTGAGCGAAAACTGCAACGCGAGGTCCCCTTGATGCCAAATAAGATCGTATTGGTTCGTGGACGGCGTCGGCTCCGGTTCCTGCATGTCCACAGAAGGTCCAACAGGTTTGGTTCTGGGCATGTCTTGGGGTAATAATGCATTGGTTCGGGGAGGACGTCGTACACCGCGGTCGTTGTCGGCGGCATTCATAGAAGCGTTGGAGGCGACGCGACGATCGGTATTGTTTCCAGCGTTGCTATTCCACGACCCATTGGATACCACTCGTCGATCAGACATGCCGCTGTCGTTCAACGATCGATCCGAGCGAGAGGTAGCGTTGCTTCGTGCATGGCGTCGACTGTCATTGGACGCAGATGATGTCAATCTATCGTTCTCCTTGAGAAAGCTCGAGTCCGCAGACCGAACGGGTAGTCCATTGGAGGGGTTTGACTTGTCCTTCTCTGGTATGGAAGATCCCCCGCCACCCCTACTGGGCTTCTTCTTCATGGCCCGGTAGTTCTGCATCAGTCGGCAGTAATCGGACCAAACAAGGATTAAGCAACGTGCCACTTTCTCAAGTATTTTAACCAGCCAATCACGAGCGGGTATTCGAGGGTCACAAATCTCTCGCGCTCTCCGGTGCTGCTAGGTCGCATATCAATGGAGCAGACGATGGGTACTGTATATGTACAGTGCTGATCGGAAGGATCAGAGCCCATGCGTGGATGCATGAAGCATACCGTACTAGTCGAAGAAGGAGAATGCCATCGGTCGTTGGCATCATTCTTCGTTCCGCCTTCTGTGGACTTGCAGCCTGGAGCAGCGACCGGCAAGCACGTCGTATTACTCTTGGCATGATACACACACATCCTTTCCATAACTGTAGATTCGATCCTTTGTCGAGCCAAGCGTCCAGGTGATGCGTCGTGCCTGACATGAACGGTAGTTGGTGGCCAAGCCTCCGCTCCACACAAACAACTCAACTTTTACCCCCACACATCATGCATAACTCACATACTATGTACCGCGGATCATTGTACTTCGGACAACTTTCCAGAGCACATTCATCACAGTTTGGTTCCCATCATTGTCGGATGAAAGTAGCGCCAGGAGTTCCCCATTCCCCCTAGCCTGCTGCACGGGTGAGTCATCATGTCGTTACATACCCCCTTGTCCTTCATGCATGCGGAGGGGACGTGTCGTTGGGCCACGGACGTCCTCGTCGCTACCGTCGTTCGCGCGCAAATCGCAGCAGGTTGGATCGTTTTGAAATCGTGACATGTGATTGGTTAAAATGAAAAGTCGATTAAAAACCAATTTGACTCGAATTAATTATACCGTGAAAAGACTGGTGGAGTGGCCCTCCCCCTCTTTTCCTTGGTGTATCGGGGCACAACACTCTATGGCGAGGATGGCATCTGAAGGCGACGAGTACGAGGAAGAGGAAGAGAAGTGGTCTCAATGGTTCTGTGGTCTGCCCGGGAACGAATACTTCTGCGAGATCAACCTGGCGTACATTGAGGATTCATTCAACCTTTACGGGCTGCGTGCCATGGTCAGCAACTACCAAGATGCATTGAACATCATCCTCGACCTTACAGGTGTGTGCAATTACGTGATGCGGAGGTACGAGTCGATGTCTCATCCTTGGCGCAATAGATATCCCGTACGACGACGACGTTCCGTCGTGCGCGGCCGAGCTCTATGGACTAATCCACGCGCGATACATCATCACAAGCCACGGCCTCGACGCCATGCTGAAGAAGTTCCGGGACGGCGACTTTGGGTTCTGCCCGCGCGCCCTTTGCGACGGCCAACCAGTCGTCCCAGCAGGCATGTACGACGAACCAAAGAAAGCCGAGATGAAGGTGTATTGCCCCAAATGCAGAGACCTGTACACCCCGTCCGTGGACTTTGAAAGCACAACGAGTACGTTGCCCATCTTGTTGAGGTTCTGCCTATCCCTCATGGTTGCGTAGTTGACGGCGCGTACTTTGGCTCGACATTTCCACATTTGTTCTTCTTGACATACAGCAACTTGGAGCCGCCGCCGTCGACGCACCTATACGTACCTCGCGTGTTTGGGTACAAGATTCACAGGAAGGGGCCGAACCGACACCGGCTGGCGACCACGGCCGCGAAAGCGCTAGAAAACGGCGACCAGGTATGCCGTAGCTTGTCGGATGTAGATTAATCCGACTGTGGAAGGTCGAGGATAATGACACCCTCTGATAGCGGCCAGGGGGAGGAGACGTCCAGCCCGACAAGGACGACGGCGCCGCCATTCAGGCCAATAGTGATCAAGCGTCCCGCAGTAAAAAGCGAGTAAAGCACGAAACCTAATGGAGGACTAGGTTTCATTCATGCTTGTCGCAAGCAACTGCAGTTAGCAGCACGAACTACTACGTAGAGGTGGTGTTCACTGGCGTATTTCAGATCTACACTCTGGAGACCATCATTCGATCACGATGCCAACTACTACCACTACTAATACTAGTACGTACAGTAGTAATCTTGGGCTGGGTTGACATTACGTTATGTACATAACGTTAAGTGTAATTTACAAAGCATGGAACTGCAATCCCTATGGAGTTTTGGCGAAATAATGGGGAGGAAGCACTTCCAAGCGTAAACCCTTCGGATGCCCCATAGTTCTAAAAGGGCTAAGTTCATTTTACTGGTGCTTTGGGGGGCTCCAACTTCTTCACGAGTATAGCGGCCATACTGGTAACAGTAGGTATTCAATCACAAGTGTAATATTAATATTGCTAATAGTAGTAGTATGGAACAAATCCCCTTGATATAGTTCTGTAAAATTATTAACGTTAACGTTAGCGGATACTAGTAATTGACAGTGAATAGTTTTCCCATGTTCCGATATTTCCCCTAGGGGCCCCAGGGAGGGGAGAGACTCCATCTGTAAATCCAATAGGTAGGGAGGTACAGTATCACGGGCTTTGACCTTCCCCATGTTCCCTACTACATATGCTCCCCAGCCGCCCCATATAAAGGCGGATGCATTGGCGAGCACAAACGATGTAACCTTCCTTACACCTCCATGGACATGAACAATATGACGTCATCGTCAGGCTTGTGTCATTCGTGTACATGAGATGGAAATCCAATGCTGCAACCATAACGTTATGCATGCTTGACTGCATCGCGATGACCACTGTCATCATGTGCGTGCCATGGCTTCTGAACAGGTCCACGGCAGAGTTTCCTAGACGGATTGATGGCATTCGTCAAAACACATGAACATGGCACTGGGGGAGGAGGAGGGACGTGCATGATGGCATGGATGGAGCTCGACGCCACTTCAAAAGTCTCCTACGAAGGATGCAGCAACGTGACAATATTGTACTAGTATGGTGGAAGCTTGAATATGAAGAATTATTTCTATTAATAGAAATAATTCTTCGTATTTCGTAGGCTTTTTATCGTAGTACTAGTAGGTCGCTAATTTCCATGTAAAATTCCCGAGTTTTTCGAAAAACCTGAAGACCATCACTCAAACGAGGGACCCTCATTCATGCACCGTGGAAAGATCGCAACAACAACAAACCACCATCCATAATACCTCGACTGCATTGTGCATTTTTCGCCATTCCTCCAGCATGGACATTGAGATCGCCGCCCCTTCGCTCCACCGGCGGAAGCCAACTGATGACTTGCATGTCGACTGTTCCGATGCTGTCCTCGCAAAGTCTTCTGAGGGCGTGATGAGTCCCGCCACCGCATGCAGCTCGTCCGATGGGGACGACACGTGCAACGTTTTTGTGTGCGACGTGTGCTTGAATGAATGCGACCTGTCCGACGCGGTGACACTAATCTGCGGTCGGTCGTGCTCGGCCACCATGTGCACTGCATGCACGCACACGTACATCACCGTGCGCACGGCCAGCGTGATTCCTGGGGTACTGGCCAAACTCAACTGTCCCACGTGCCTCGTCCCTGTGAATTTGCGGCGCTGGCACAACCGCCTAGCTGCTTTTGCGCCGAAATTCGACGACGTGTTGAGTCAATTTTGCGACAAGGTGGAGCGCTCCTGCGACGTCAAGTGCCCAAGCTGTCATATCAATCGTAGCCAACTTCCGCCACATGTATCCAGCGTGCCGCCGATCAAAATGCTGCCGACGTTGGCGGCACACATCCCTCGCCTTCGCGAACTAGGTCGGGCGTATTGCAACCATCAACTGTCGGCGGCCGACGTTGTTGCGTTTGCTCAAACCACATTTGGCCAGCTAGGCGATATCATTTTGGAGTACTTGGTGCAGCTGATTGACGACAGAGAGCGCCGCGCGACCCTGTACCTCCGCCTCCGTCGAACAAATCCGCTCATTCTCACCTTATGCTGCAACGCCGCAGTGTGTTTTTCATGCCACGTGGCAGGCCATCACGACGGCGGTCCATGTGGCGGCGTCGCTCCAACGGACCAAGTCGTCGAGTGCGAGTCGTGTGGGCTGCACTTAGTCAAGGGCGATGGGTGTGACTGGGTGCAATGCTACTGCGGTCTCGAGTTTGGCTGGACGAGTGCCGCCATGGCCACTAAGATGCGCCGCCTGGAACCGCGCCATCTCGCCGCGCTGCGTTGCATGATCCAACCTTTCAGGCGACTAGTGTTCAAGCGCAAACTGTTTCGGCAAGTGCTATCGAAAGTACCCGAGCTGCACTTGGCAGCGCGTCAAAGAAGCATCGAGGCCGAGTTGTCCCGCAACGCCGAGCTGAAGCTAGCGCTGCGGCATCGCTTGTGTCGGTGGGTACAACGCATTCGCAAGCATCGCGTGTTTCGTGGCATGATGAGCGACGTCCTGGTGATGCAGGCCAAGTATTTCTGGGTCAACCATTGGGCAACCCATGCAGACGAGTGGCACGAACTCGACGACGAAACGTCATCCTTTATGGCAATGGATGTTTAAGGCGACATGCAAATAAAATATATCTCCTATTATAGTAAATACTATGAATTGTGTACTACTAGTACTCAGTACTATTAAAATAGTAATAGTACTACGTGTAGGTTTAATACTATTAATAAAATCAATTTATCCCAAATTTATTGTAGTGATTTGATTAAGTTAATATATTTCTCGGATGAGCCAATGGCGATCACGATCCCAATTTTCTGCGTTTTATTTGATTGGTTATTATCTTGCTTGGATGAGCCAATGGGTGATGTGGCTTGGTAAGTTGATTCATCATGCGTGGCGAAAAGCGCAAGCGGACCGACGTGAACAACGATGGCATCCATCCAAGGAACATGTACAGAAACCCACCCGACTTCAAAGCTCTAGCAAAGGCGTATCCTTCGTTACAGCCGTAGTACGTGCAAAGCAGTCCATGCATGATGCGTCCTTACGATCTAATTAGTGTCCACGAATCGAACATTGGTCATACCACGTTGAAGTGGAGCGATCCTCAAGCAGCAAGGTGCGTTGTGTTTGTCACTCGATCGTCATGACTCGTGTAGAGAACTAACGAGAGCGCTGCTGCACCGCGACTTTGGCATCACGACGTGGCATGTTCCCCTGAATCGGTTGTGTCCTCCGGTACAGTAACGCCCACCACCCCATCATGAGCCCCTTCCAAAGCGACCCCAACAACATATCTGTTGTAGCTCCCAAATCGCCTCAACTACATCCACTGGATCGAAGACTTGATCTTGTTCTCCCAGTCGTCCTACGTGTCTACCGAGGACGCTCCCATCTGGGGTGTTGACATTGGCACTGGCGCCTCCGTCATTTACCCGTTGCTCGGCCATTCGCTCAACCAGTGGCGCTTCCTCGCGACAGACATCGACGCAGAGTCCATCGAATACGCCGCTGCCAACCTCCGCTCCAACCATCTCGAACATGTGATCCATCTGGAGACAGTCGCGGACGGGCATGATGCGTCGATTCTTCCGACGGCGTCCATCCAGCGACGCTGCCGCCACGATGGCCCCGTCCTCTTTACCATGTGCAATCCCCCATTCTTCGACTCAATTGACCAAGCCGACACGAACCCGCGAACTGCCTGCACGGGGTCGGCCAGCGAGATGACGACCCCCGGCGGCGAAGTTGCCTTCGTTACACGCATGATCCAAGACAGCCTACTGCTCACGTCCCAAGGTAATATCTTCGTCCGTTCCCATCATAACTTATCGCATCTGTGACGTGGGGTAGTGCGATGGTATACCTCTCTAATCGGCCGCAAGAGTTCGCTTCGACCGCTGCTCGCCATCTTGCGATCTCACGGCATTCCCAACATGCGCACGACCGAGTTCCTCCAGGGGCGCACCACGCGATGGGGCCTCGCGTGGTCCTTTACCACGTACGGATCAACCACCCCCAACGAGGTCCTGTCCTTATGTCGCAGAAAAAAGAGCTACGATACGGTCCTTGTTATCTTGTTTATATTTAGCATGTGGAAGGCGTCCTTGTATGTTTGCTGTACATACATACATTGGACGATGTCACATATCGATTCTGTACAGATTTCCGGACGAATCGACTCTATTGGCTAATCCAATTTTTTGAGTGGATTTGATTGGTTCTTAAAGAAAGACAGTTATATATTCAACCAATCAGAACGTTAGCGTGATTATTGAGTCGACGACAAACCGCTGCTCGAATATTGGTAGTTGTTGATTGTGCTTTCGAGTGAAATTGTGTTGTGGGGTTGGAATTTAAATCGATTTGATTGGCTACTTCAGATGAGCTCAAAATGACTAGCCAATCAAAACCCATTTCTCAATGAAATTCAACCAATCAGATCGATTGTGGATCGGTTTGGTCGGCGCGATCCCCTCCCCAAATGTGTATATCAAATCGACAATAAAGCGAATTCACAATATGTAGCATGGCCACAAAGTTCTCGCCAAGCGACGAGAAGCCAAGCGCCGCCAAGCGCTGACATTTCACCTCCCCCAGTCATTCCCTGCAGGTATGCTACGAAATAACATTAGATGCCACTTACTTGATATGTTAGTATCGACTGGTCATTGCGCGTCCATGGATGATGTGCACCGCCGCATCGTGGACAGTGCCGCCTTGCTTGAATCGGCCGAGGTACCTTAGGCTACAAGGATGGATGAATTCATGTGTTTTCATGGGATGGAGGTGTAGATGGGGATTGCAATTCGTGAAGAACACGTGGGGGATGATGGATCATTGTCTACACCGTGTCGCACATACGAACTCGTGGCGACAACTACGAACGAACAAGGATTACGTCGTACTGTGCTGTTTCACGCGCTGGCACGTGCCCAAGTGTCGACGGATGACAAGCAGCATGCGATAGGGTTTGACATTTCGCTGGAGTGGCGGCACGGTGTCGCACGAGATCGATTTTGGACATTTAGTGACAAGTGGAAAGCGGCGATTTTGCGCACTGGCCGTCGCTGGCGCAAGCAAGCAAGCTGTGAGTCCAAGTGAGACAAGAAGCACGGAGTGGAGCTAGGCGGCAATGGATTGATCATGTAACATGTCCTTGGTCTCGTCGTCGTGGCAATGTGGTGGAGGTTGGGAGGCTTTTGATTGGTTTATTTTTGGCCAATCATATCGATCCGCCATATTGGAGGGTTTTCAGCACCAAGCGATCGGTGTTTGGTTGCATCACAATTGTATCCTCCGAACTGGACGACATGGTAGCTACGAGAGAGATGACACTCTGAGGAGAAAAGGAGGATGACCATGTCGCGTGTGTAGGAAGCACAGGACATGAGTGAACATGCACACAACCAAGCTGCCGACGACCTCGAGTCGCCGGTGGAAGAGCAGCACGATGATGTCAAGAGACCTCAGGTGGACTTAACCGAGGTTGGAGGTGGGGAAACCACAAAGCATGGTGACACCGAGCCAGCAGAACCTGCTAGTGTTGAGCATCATGTCCACGTGAACGACAATGACGCGACTGTCGACAACGCTCCAACACCCTTGAATTCTTCATCGAGTCCGTCCGTTCCAGTGGACGCATGGGAAGAAGGGGAAGTGGAGGAAGAAGTGCCATACGTGAAACCTACGACTGCCACTTCCCACACGTCGGCATCCCTTGATCCTGTCGACGAGACCGAGCTCGGCCCATCAGTGGCGGCGGCAGGCATTCTTGCGCAAGCACCGCCCGGCACCTTAACGCCGCTGCTGGAGTACCAACAAGGATACCATGGCGTGTCGTACGAAAGTACGTCTACGCAGCTTCCAAAGGTCGTCATCCGCGACCCATCCAAGTCGATCAAGACGGTAAGAATGGAATCTACGCCGCAATGAGTAGGAGGAGGTGGCTCACATGCGACAGAGCGACGACATTCGCCGTCATTTCGAAGCGATTGGCGGCGTCCAAGGCCTGACGTGGTCGGCGGACTCTGGCTCGGGCGACGTGACATTGGCCGACCTGGCGGTAATCCCTCCTTCCATCGTCGTTAGTTTGTGGTCTGATGCATTCTATGTCTTGTGCCGAGTAGACTCTCAATGCTGTGTTTGCTCTCCCCGAGCATACGATCGGCGACACGACGCTGATTGTGTCTCCGATGCCACCGCCCGTGGACCCTACGCTTGTCGAGTACGTGATGGTTGGGAACGGTGTCACAGGTGGTGACATGTTTGTTTGTTGGTTAGGCAATTGCGACAGACGTACGAAGGCACGGGGGTGCACTTGAGCAATGTCATGCACGGGATGACCGAAGGTATATGTGACAGTCTAAATCACTGTTTAGTTGACACCTTGATGACGATATCTATATATATATATGTATAGCATTTGATGCCAGTGGTATATATCAGATAGTTGACCCATCAACAAACGTAGACGTGATCAAGGCGGAAATGAGTTGCTTTGGAGTTATCACCAGCATCCGTCGATGCCTCAAGCCGATCGAGGAAGCGGTACCGTCTTCCGAATTTATATTGTCATTCTTTTACCCTATATTTGGTTGACTTTTGGGCTGATTATTCGCCAAATCTATTGATCGATTGTTCTTTGTACTGACTGTTGTATGTAAAAGCCATCCAGTGTCACACTAATTTCAGTATTGGTCGAAGAGTGGATTTGATTGGCCGCCTAATTCGTTTTTCTGAGTTTTGATTGGTCGATTATCGATTGTATGCCGATTTGGTTATTCTGTTCATTCGATTGAGCACAATCGACAATATCTATGTTGACCTGTATTTCATGGTAGCCCTATGGCTATGGTTTCGTCAACTACGCCACATCCAGACAAGCAGCCCATGCGCTGTCCGCGGGGACGCTTACCATTCACGGCGTCGAAGTGAAGGTCAGCGCCATCAAGAAGGACTACCAACGATACCCTGGAGGAGGCCGCGGAGGTCGAGGAGGACGAGGGTTCGACGGCGGACGGGGTGGAGGCCGGGGCGGTCGCTTCTTTGGCGGGCGCGGCGGCCGAGGGGACGGCTTTCGAGACGGCGGCAGAGGTCGCGGCGGCGGACGTGGCGACTTTGGAGGACGCGGCGGCGGACGCGGCGACTTTGGAGGTCGCGGCGGCGGACGCGGCGACTTTGGAGGACGAGGCGGCGGACGCGGCGACTTTGGCGGACGCGGCGGCGGGCGTGGAGGGGGTCGGTTCGGAGGCGGACGGGACGGTCGTGGAGGTCGAGGGGAGTTTGGTCGAGGTGGTGGAGAGTACGGCCGGGGAAGCGGGCCTGGGTATGCTCCTGCTCAGCCAGCATACGGCGGTGGTGGTGGTCCTGCTTACAATGCACCCCCTCCCGGATCCTACGACGCGCCATCGTACCCTCCCCATCATGAACCACACCAACCATATGGAGGGTACCAACCGAGCAGCTACCACCAGCAACATCAGGCTCCTCCTCCGAGCTACAACGCCCCATCGTCTTATCCACCACCTCAGTACCCTCCCAACCATGACCAGCACCAACACCACCACCCACCACCCCCTACATCGTCGTATGGGCAACCTCCAGGCGGGTACGGAGGAGGAGGGTACCAGCAGACTAGTCCGCCGTCGTACCCGCCCGCTTCGTCATACAACCAGCCCCCTCCACATGTGTACGATGCGCCACAGCGGAGTTATGAGTCGTCTCAGCCGCATCAGTCATATGGCAGAAGCCAAGAGTACGCACCACCCCGGCAGCCATACGCCACCGCACCGCCTCCGTCGTCGTCGTCTCCGGGGTATTACAACGCAGGACCGACGACTCAAGGGTACACGCAGCAGTCACCCCCCCCTCGATCGTATGGCCATCCCTCGTCCGAGTATGGCGGGTATCCAAGCTACCATCAACCAGACCACCGCAACGACCCCCCGCCACCTTCGTAATCCACCCATCATTGCCACCGCCTAGATATGGTCATTATTGGAGTTTTGTGTAGGTATGGCCCCGCCAGATCGCAAGGATCCAACTACCGCGCCGGTCCATATGACCCCCCGCCACCGTCGTCTTCGTACGGATATCGTTAGAGTTGAAATGGCCAGAACGAGTAAGTAGCATTGGACGACCTGGCAAATCACCTTTTGTTACTATCTAAAGGTCTTTCATTACCTCTGAATGGCCGAGCCTTTCGCGACCTTATTGTATCGTTGGTATACAGTAGGTAGTGGTCAATCAGAAAACCCTCGGATTCATGGTACAGCAACGTTTTCAGTGGTTACTGTAAGCTAGCTACGTAGCTTTCTCGACGTCCCCGTTGCAAACTATTAATAGTAGAACTGCATGATCTTGGACCTACACTTCCGTGCAAATCATGTCGATATATATAAAAGTAGCGGTAGCTAATATAGTAAGTGAAAACGTTCAATCATGCGTGTAACGTTATAATATCTAAAATGAAGCTAAGTGCTAAATTAGTGTGAGACGACGACGTGCCAGATTTTAATATGGCAACCACTTCCACTCGGGGGATTCGCGGGTGAGTTGGGCGACGTGGTCTTCGATGGACCGGCCGGCGGCCTTGGCGCACTTGACCATCTTGCGCACGTCCTTGGTGCTCATGGCGCGGAGCGACTTGGGGTTAATGATGACGCCTGTGACCTTCATCTTGTCGTTGGACGACCCAAAGCCCGACCGCGACGGGTCCACCTCTTCCTCTTCCTCCATGATCTTCTTGCCGCCGCCAAGGCGGTACTCCGTCTCCTGGGCTTCCCCGATCACGCGCACACGACCCGACTCGACCAGCCACTTCTCCGTGCACAGCGAGTTGTAAAACTCGTCGCTGTGGGAAATCATAATGCACGCGCCGGCAAACACGCGAATGGCGTCGGCTAGGGCACCCAGCGCCGCCCGATCCAAGTAATTCGTAGGTTCATCCAGCACGAGCAAGTGCGGGCGCGTCCACATGGCGGCGGCGATCACGAGCTTGACCTTTTGTCCGCCAGAGAGGCCAAGGATCTTGCCGTGGGTCCCAAACTCGGCCAACAAGTTGAAGTCGTCCAAGTGCTTTTGCACTTCGCGGGTGGTCGTGGAGCGGAGGTCGCCACCGCCAGCCAGCGTCGCTTGGCGAATGTCTTCCAACTCGGCGAGCTTGCCCAGCCCCATTTCAATCAGCTGGTCCAGTGTGTAAAACTTGTTGTGGCGCTCCGTCATGTTGACGAGTTTGCATTCGTACTCGAGGGTCTTCTTGACCAACCGACGCGACATGATCTTCTCCACTTGGCCAGTCGACTTGCCGACCAGCGATTTTTCCTCGTCTGTTTGCGCCAGGTTGACGCGCGAGTCGAGCTCGCGGTCGATCCCGCCGGGGCCGCCGTACCGCCATTGGATGTACTCGACCGGCGAGCTGTCCAAGTGCTGCTCCACGTGGTGCAGCGAGTGCTGGGCCACGTACGCCACGCGCAAGTTGTGATGCTTCCACATCTCGCCGCTATCGGGAGAGGTTTCCTGGACCAGCATCTTGATAAGCGTCGACTTGCCGGCGCCGTTGGCGCCGATCACGGCCACGCGGGACGCCAGACACAGCTTGATGTTGACGTCGTGGAGCTGGGGCTTGGCTGCACCGGGGTACGTGTAGCTGCAGTTTTCCATCGATAGGATGCGGCGCGTAGTGGACGTGATCCCATCCAATCGACCTGGTTGGGGAAAGATAAACTGGCAGTCGGACGCAGCCAGTTCGTAGTAGTGCTTGGCTTCGGGGTGGATCTCCACAAAGTGGGCGAGGGTGCCGGGGTACAGCACGAGCTGCTTTTGCTCATAGTGAAGCACATCCGTGCACACGTTGTCGAGGAAGCCAGTGTCGTGGGACACTAGCAGCACCGTCATCGTATCGAGCGAGTTCAAATAGCTCACGAGCCACGCCACGGCGTGCACGTCCAAGTGATTCGTAGGTTCGTCCAACAACAGCACGTCCGCATTGTACAGCATGGCGCGGCACAGCGACAGCTTCATGCGCCACCCGCCCGAGAGTGCGGCAACCGTTCCGTCTAAGTGTTCCTGCGTGAACCCGACCGACGACAGCACGTTGACCACGGCTTGACGGTCGTTGTGGGCAAGATCGGGGTCTGCGCAGAGCGAGTCGAGCATCGAGCCGGCGTCCGGCACTTGGTCTTCGTGCTGTACGTAAATCGTGCGAAGGTGCGTCGGGAGGCCTTCGATCGTATGGTTGGCAATGTTGCGCATGAGAGTCGTCTTGCCGACGCCGTTCTTGCCCACGAGACCGTAGCGGTGGCCGCGGGTGAGACGGAGCCGCGCGTTCCGGAGCAGGATCTTGCCGCCGTATGCCAATGAAAAGTCGATGTCGCACACGTCGTTCGGGTCCACCGACACTTCGCGGTCGTCGCCGAGCCCGCCGCCGGCTTTGCGGAGCGCTTTGCACACGTGGTCCGCATCTTCGTCTTGCATGTGCGGCAGCAAGTAGGGCATCACAAACCCGCGCCACTCCTTGCCACGGTTCATCGTCACAAGTTCGGCGCAAATGTCTGTGATGTAGTGCAGCGCCACTTCCGTGAGCCCGGGGTGGGTGGCAATGTCAAGAGCGTCATGCAGCCCTTGCATGAGCGCGGCTTGGAGCGCGGTGCGGGCCTTGGACGGGTCCTCTTGGGCGCGGCCTTCGCCGGCGGCACGCTTGAGGCAGCTGCGCGCGTCGGCGGCGACTTCGGCGACCTCGGGGTCGGCAATGCGTTCAATCACAGAGTCCAATTGGGGCAACAGCAACGGCACGAACGGCGCAATGTCCACGGGGCGCGAGACCAGCCGACACATGCTGTCAATGATGCGGGACGCCTTGCGGCGGAGAGCCGACGAGTTGGTCGTCGTGTCGCGCAGGGCCTTGTTGAGCAACGGGGCGATTAGGGCCAGGGTCGGGGCGTCAACGTTGGACACGAACGTCGTGGCGAGGAGGCTGTCGATGGCTTTGAGCGACTGCTCGGGGTTGGCAATCACGTTGACGAGGACGGGGACGAGGGGGAGGACGTCGTCGTTGGTGATGGTGGAGCACGTGGCAGTGAGCGCGGCCAGCGCCGCCGCCTTTACTTGGGGCTTGGTGTCCCACACGACGTTGGACAGTTGTGGGATGATCTCGGGCAGCGAGTTGGAGATTTCGTGGGCGGCGGCACCGGCAAAGTGGCGGAGGAAATCGCACGACGCGGCCTTCGACTGCCACGCCTTGAGCGTCAGGCCCTTGAACACTTCGTCGAGGATCGTGCGGGTTGCGAGGGGCGACACCGTGTTGGTGAGCGCCATGACGGTGCGGACGGCGGCGTCGCGCACTTGCGGCTCCTTGTCCGAGTGACGCTCCATGATGGGCACGAAGAGAGACACGAGGATGGGCTCGATGGCCGAAGAGATCAAGTCGCACTTGCTCATGCCGATGAGAAGCAGCAACCCGCCTTCGCGCTGGTTGGCCGACTTGTCCGTGACGAAGCGCTGGACTTCGTTAAGCACGAAGATGCCAGAGTAGCTGCCGACACCGAGCAGTTCGACAGCCTTGACCAGGTCGTCGATGGCGGACTGGCGGATGCTGCGCGACGCGGGGGTGCTCACTTTGTCGAGGAGGTTCTGGACGAAGTCCATGCGCGAGGGAACGTCCGACGCCACAAAGGCGGCGATTTCTTCGTCGGTCAACAAAGTGCGGTAGGAATCGTCATCAGGCTCGTCTTCGCTAGCGGAGGACAAGATGGAAGTGGATCGAGACGCGGCGGTGGGCGTGCTGGGGCCAGAGCCTGGGATGAAGGAGGTCGTTGTGAATTCACGCGGAGCGGCGGCGAGGGTGGGTCGTGGAGGAGCAGAGGCGGACACCGGGGCAAGAGGAGGAGGAGGAGGACGACCGAACATTGTGGCGGAGGCGGCGGCCTTAGCGGCGGCTTTTTCTTTCTGTGCCTTGCCCATGATGTGATAAGGATGTCTGGGCGACAATTCGGTTTTGAGCAGCTATTTATCTGTTGGTTGTGCAGTCAGAGACAATCCCAGGGATATCTTTGGAATTTATTTATTAGACCCGAGTCGATTTCAAATACCTTGATGTTTGTATGTGGTGGCCCACTGCTCGATTTTAAATATACTATGATGATCCAATCCTGGAGATTCCGTCATTGGCCAATCAAATTGCCGTTCTGAGGACCACCAATCATTGGACTATCGTTCTTAGCATGACACGTTCTTAACATAGCTGGCAGTCAAATTACACGCGATGCGTTTTATATTTAACTCAATCAGGATTCCCACTGAGTTCCACAACACAACCTCCAGTGGCCTTGTAGTCTTGTATCCCAAAAATCTAGTGCAATCTTGGAACGAGAGACTTTGCATTACAGCAAATTGAGAATGCTTCTAACGTAGCTCCGTGATGATGATGTGCATTTAGTTGAGATGGTTTTATACGTTTAACCTTCTCGTAAGTCTAAAAAACCAAATCAGACAGAAGGCCTGGTTTTACGACAAATCGCCACGTATTTTGACCAAGGAACGCACACTTGACGTTAGGGGGCTTGCTGTTTACTTTTGAGGTTGACACCACGGAGTTTCAATGCCCGAGCACTTTTGCAGCAAGGGCAGGCTCCTACAGAGCATCTATATCAACCACCCCATACAAACCACGTAGATAAGGAAGACGGTACAGTACCGCGTATGATATTGCCTTTGCTTGGTCATGGTCGGAAAGAGGAAGAGTTGGTTGGTGGTTCGTTTCGCTTTAGCTTTTCGCGGCGGCGGAATACATGGAGGCAATGGGGCTGTGGTGGAGTGAGGGTCCTGCTGCCGAAACTGCAGGTAGTCGGTGGGTTGAAGCAGTGGCGGCTGGACAAGCATCGTGGACGCGGCCGACTTTCGAAATGACGAGTGCATGCTGTGCATGGCCAATATCATGTCCTTTGTAGGTTCTATGGGGGTCATGTCCCTTGTATCTCTACATGAACTTCTGTCAGGACTCCACCGTTCTGACTCGATCTCTCGTACACTTGAACATGCTGGAACCCAGGGTCCGTTGACGTCGCTGTTGGAAGTTTCTTGGGCGACTGACGTTGTGGAGACATGGATTTTGTCGTGGGGGAACCAGGTTTCAACGAGGCTGGCGCGTCTGCCACGGGCACTTCGTCGTTCGAGAGCGGGGGAAGTGGGGGGACTATCAAGTAAGTAAACATATTGGCCCAACATTGGTCAAAAGGCAATTGTAACGGACGATGAAAGTCGGCCAGGGCGGTCGTGAGGGTGTCGTGCGTTTTCGAGTGGGAAGACCACGCCATGCCAAACAGTAGCTGCAGTCGCTCGACGATGAATTCCAGCGTGCGGAAGGCCACGTATTGCATGCCTATATCCGGCCAATCACAATGAGATTGGCGATCTACCGGTAGCAAGACTGAGTGTACGGTGGTGGACGGTAGGAAATGGCTTGAGCGCTTCGTAGAGCTCGTCGAGCATAAAGTACACGGCGTCGACATCCGTGGTGCATTTCACAGTCACTGGCTCGGGAAGGTCAAAGAGGCTGGAGATGTCCCCGACGTACGACTACACCACGGACCAATCAATGAGTGGAGTGGGGTCGAATGTATAAAGTACCTGTGGGCCCAAGATCGCGACTTCCAATTCTTTGGGGTAGGGGGCGCGGGGGCTGGCGCCGGGGAGTTGGAGGGACGACACGACCGGGCGGTCCGCGGCGACAATCGAGTCGTCTTTGAACGTCGCTTTGGCCGTGCCTTGGACAATGATGTAAAAGTTGCTCTTGGCGTCTCCTTGATGCACAATGGTTGCGCCGGCGTCAAACGATCGATACCGTACGTATGGCTCTAATATGGACATGCCAAACAGATGGAGGCAGTTGTGTGTGGTGACGTGGGCCAGCGCGGTGGCGGATTCGACGAGATTCTCTGCCGACAGCACCAAGCAGTCCACGGGCCCCCGTAGCACCACCTACATACATTGTGAACCCCTTCACAAAACAATGAAAGAAACATCCTGCCTTTTGGAACTTGGACTTGGGGCCGCTAGTGCCAGTGGGGTCGCCGACCCATCCCACGTGACTCGTATGGGCGTGGACTGCATTATTGAAATGAAGGTTGCCAAACACAGATCCGTCCCGTAGGTGCACTGGCACTTGGTTGGGGCGGTCGAGAATCTAACACCAAGAGTGATCTTTTGCATTGAAACAAACCCAACGTACGTAGCCCTCGGCGCTACCTCGAAGCACCACGTATGACACTTTGAGCTCGTTGGTGCGAATGTCCACGGTCTCGCCCTTGTGCACGTACTTGAGCTTGATGTCTTTTGCCAGGGCCAAGCTAATTTATGCCAAAACCGTGTGACACAAAATTCCGCTTCGAATTGGTCGTGTTACTTTACCGTTCGGTATGTGTGAGCCGTTGCCACCATTGCATTCGATGCACAATTGTCTCCCGTTCCAAAAAGTCGACGACGAATTCCAATTGTTGCTGTGTAGGAAGGCATGGATGTGAGCTAAAGTGAGCTCAATGTCATGCTGACGGCGGCGATTTGTACCTGGGAAAGGTCGACGCCGCTCATGTACATGCGCCGAAGGGCAAACTTGGCCTGAAGGGACTGCGCACAAAACTTGATTTTCTACTCGCGTCATCAGCTATCACCATTGTCCGCGAGGCAACCACGTACTCCTTTCGCTTTCTTCATCGCAACACAGTTGCCAAACGATAAAGTTCCTTGGCAGAATGTGTCCTCCAAGGCTATATTTAGCTGTGGCTTGATTGATAGAGCGGCGACCGACAGCAATTTTTCGCTTGTCAAACGTGGAGCAAGAACATAATAGCAGTCCCAGAACTAGCTGTCACCAGGACTTGCGTATCAGTAATCGATAGTACAGCGCGCAGTGAAGTCCATCGTGAACTTAGAAGTGTTTGCCAAAGGAGCTGATGCGTTGCTCACTTGGCCGCCAAGTTGCCCTTTTTGCTCAATTCATGTCACCATGCACATATCCGGATAAAATGGATCTTGCGACTGCCAAAGATCCGATCTTCTGCTGGAGGTAATAATATAAAATGATTTTTAACACCACTCCATTTTTGTAGGGGGAGTGGCAAAGTATGCTTTATAATTATTGACGTTTCACAATCTCGACGCTCATCTGTTGGATGATTTTCGTCATTCGCTTCTTCGCCACTGAGAGCCTTCAGAATGGTACGGGAATTGCTAGTCTTCTCATGGGTCCATGACCATGCTGTGTCTGATCATCATGCAGATTCGCTTCTTCCTACTGCAAAACCGACAGGGGAAGACCCGTCTCTCCAAGTGGTACGTGCCCCCGCCACCCGACCTCGAGAAGCCGCGCTTGGAATCAGAGATCCACCGACTTGTGGTGGCTCGCGATGCAAAGCACACGAATTTCATTGAGTTCCGCTCGTACAAGCTGATTTACCGACGCTACGCTGGTCTATTCTTCATCGTGGGCGTGGATCTGCATGCGAACGAGCTCTTGTGCCTGGAAACAATCCACTTGTTCGTGGAGCTATTGGACCAGCAGTTTTCCAACGTATGTGAGCTCGACATTGTGTTCAATTTCAACAAGGTATCGCATGACCACGAGCAATGACATGGTTGATGACTCCATGCTGCGTAGGTGTATTCGATGCTCGACGAGTACATCCTTGGGGGTGAAGTCCAAGAAACGAGCAAGCGCGAAATGCTGGATCGCATCCGTGAGCTCGAAAAGCTGGAATAGGTTTCCGTCATGACCGTGCTTCCTTGATTCGCTAGCATTAAGTAGCTCACAGTCGTAAAGGAGATTCAACCACTTCACTTGCTTCCATACCACCACCAGCGTCGTTAACACTGAGCATGTCCACTGTAAACGAAGTCCTTCCTTCTGTTCCTCGGGTCACAAAGAAGGCGGAATGCGGCATGTCATAGCTTTGCATGTTCATTTTCCCAAGAGGAGGTGTCAACACAGCCACTACACTACACAGTCCCTACACTTTGTCGCAATCCCAACCACGAAAATTCTACAGTGCACTCATCATGCCCATCGCAGCACCTTTCCCTGTTGGACCTGTCACGTCACCGGCGGCGCCGCCGTCGTCCTGCATCGAAATCGACCATCTTACACCTGCCCCATCAGACGACGACAAGATAAACAAGATGCTCTTTGGAAAAAACATAAGGGTACTTTGCCACTTGCAAGAAGATAGGTGCTTTATCAAGTGAAAGATAAGAAACTAGCGCAGGTCAATTCCCGAGCCACCAACAAGAGTGATCGGGACCCATAGGTTTAAGCAGTCTTTTCCGACTTCTTCTTGGACAACTTTTCCAACAAGACCTTCTTCACGATCTTTTGCTCTTCGATGAGGAACGCGCGCACGATACTACAACCATGATCCACCCCCCATGAGACGTCGAGGACCTGTGATGAGAATCGAATGGAATCGTACCGTTGGCGCACGCAACCAGCGCAGCGGGAGCCGCCGTAGGCACGGGACACGGTCTTTTCGGACTTGGCAATGTTCTTGTAAGCCTTGGACGCGAGGTGCTTGATGCCCTTAAGCGCTTGCTTGCAGTCACCGCACTTGGGGCCGTGGGAGTGCTTCTTCACGTAGTGAGCGACGAGCTTGCCGCCGGGGGTCTTGACCGGCACAATGCGGTTGGACTTGGTGGCGTACGAGTGACGGCGGCGGTAGGTGATGCGGACGTTCTTGACCATGTTGCTTATCTTCTCGAATTGGCAGAGTACTTGTTTGTTTGGATGTTACTGGCCAGTCCCCACACGAACCAACCATTCGTTTGGCCCTCAAACGCTAAATTTGTATCCCAGCCAATCACAACCCGTTATTCTCTAATTGGCTGAAAATATGACCAATCCCCATCGAGTCCTGGATATCCGGAGGAAATCGATTATCCGGATCGCGTTCGACCGTTTCGACATCAAAAAAACCATGGCGAGGTCCGCTAGTCGGACGCAAGGTACGCGTGCAGCCACGTTGTTTGGGAATGAAAGCACCTGCGCCACCAAAGTCTAACGAAGGGAAGAAGCATGAGAATGTAGCTTGGACAATGGCAAGTATGATAGCCATCGAAGCTTGCGATGTGTAGGCACTGATTTCCAGCAAGGTGACGAGGGGATGCATGCATCAACTGTACTGTAGCTTGTTACTCTGCGGACTACAATGCTCCACCTCGATATATCGCCCATAACGTTAACAATAATACACACATTGGCATTCACACAAGACAGCTGCTTAGGTATCACTTGACTTGTCAGGACAAAGTTAGAGTCCTAGAACCGAGCATAGTGATCGAAGATGTGGATGTACGGAAACCCCACGACACTCCTCGTGCATGTATCGTGGGTGTAGCCACCGGGAATGTCAAACGACGTGGGGTTCTACGCGACAGTGTACTTTGATGAGCCAAAAACGTTGTCACAGCTGGCGTTCAGTTAGTCGCACCTGAGGCTCGAGTTTGACGTTGACCAGGTCGTACGTTATGATGGGTGCCCAGTCGCCACCGTCCGTTTCGCTTTCTTGGGTCAATCGAATCGGCGCTTCAAAGCAAACAAGACCATCAACTTGGAGCGTGATGGCTCATGGAAGGTAGGGGGAGATAACATTACCGTGGCTTTCGATGCTGTTGTACACATTGACGCGAAGCACCGTGTGAGGGATGCTGTATGTCCACAGCTCACACTCTTGGCCCAAAACGTTCTCGTTTCCCTGCACAAAACGTGTATGTGTTGTCGATAAGAATCCAAATATTACTACTACTACTACAAAATAGTACTCGATGATTCGTAGTAGTCGTACCTTGTACACCAACTCTTGAGGTAGTTCCGGTCGTGGCATGGTTTCGCCTACACATAGCAAGGCGCGTGAATGCATACACTAGCCAGCGTTCGTCATAAAAGATCGAGATGGCGTGGCACGTTGCTGGCGATTTCAACAGCGACAAGTGCAACGCTTGACGTACCAAGGTAGGCGCGTTCGCAGTTGGCGTATTTGCCGTACTTGACCTTGTACTCTTGCTTCTACGTAACGCCTTCTTGCTTGAGTATGATGCCACTTCCTGAAAGATACCATGCATGTTGCAGCATGCATGAACCATTGAACCAACCGTGTCATATCGACGAATGTACGATTTGCCCTTGTCGTAGCCAGCTAGAATGTCTGCCCGTGCAAGCCCTTGTGTGTAGTCGTAGCGGATCTTCATTTTGCGCAACGACGGTGGATATGCGACGGTGGCATCGAGCAAATGCGCTGCAAACAAGCACAGGTCATGCAAGGTTGTGGAGGGGTGGGCGACCTGTACCTGTGATCTCCAAGTCGGCTTCAAACTGAAGGGGGAATTGAGGTGGAGCGGGACTGCTTGCTTCGAAGCTTGTCGATGATGGTGCGCAAAAAGGAAGTAGAGCGAGCACAGATATCACGGCTGGCGTCCACATGCCGGTGGTGGCTGTTGCGATGGGTGTGATTTGATTGCGATCTTTGGTACTATCAATACACTATATAGTGGGTGCTTTGAGTAAGTATTTTCATTGAATAGTGTGAATCGCTAAATAGCGTGAGTGAAATAAGTTTGGCGCCTAATCCCAAAATACCTTGGCCTCTGTATGGAATCATTCAATTTTGAATTCTTGCTATATTTATATTTGATATTTGTATCCAGAATGGATAGGAATTAAAAAAACATGTAAAGTTGCGAGACCATTTTGAATCATTCCTGAAGGCGGCAACTCTGGGGAACATGCCACGGCGCGACCCCAAGAAACCGAGTGACGATGCGAAGAGTGTAGACGACGACGAAGTGGAAGGGATTGATGATACCCAGGAAGACCAAGTGACTGCATCCGCAGCAAGCAGTGAAGGATTGAACGCGACAGAGGACGACGGCAACGGTGCGCCGAATTCGACCGAAGGGGATGCCCCCAAAGTCGCGTCCGACGATGAATCTGGATCGAAAACTCCGCCAGCGAAGACGATGCGTCGAGCTAAAGGGAAACGTCCCGCATCTACTCCTGCAAATGAGAGCGATAACGAACACGACGTCGAACAGGAAAAGGCGACTCCTGGCGCTGAGGTTGAAGAAGGCAACGAGTCCACGCCTGCCCCAGCAGTCCCCCAGCGTCGCAGTGCACGTGCACACAATCCTACCCCATTGTACACGTCGCCATCAGTGGCGGCTTCGAAACGAGACGCCGAGTCACCAGCTGATACGTCCTCGTACGTCCTTTTACCCTTATTTCTCAATCTCACGTTCACCCATCATGGCGTAGTCAAAGCAAAACACCATCTGGTCGCCCGCCTCGTCCTACTAAACGAACGCTCAGTGTCCATGCTGGCAAGCCTCAACCTCAATCGAAGAAAACAGTCAAGCAAGTCGACACTGAAGCCAACGACGACGACGACGAGGGTGAATTCATGCTATACGAGGCTGTTAAGTCGGGCTCGGCGAATATGGCGACCCTGGTGCGCGAGTGGCGCAGCCGCTTCGAGGCGAGTGCAGACGCCGCGTCCCGCGAACTGATCAACTTCATCATGAACGCATGTGGGTCCACGTCGATCTGCGTCGAAGAACAAGACGACTTGGACGAGCTCGACTTGATGTCGTTCGTCGACACGGTGGTTGTGAGTTTGCAGGCGTCCAATCAGTTGGTGTACCCACTCGCGTCCAAGGTCAAGGTACTATAACCTACCATCCGTAGCCCATCCCTCGAATCTCAACATACATGTTGAACGTGCTTAGGGATTTCGGAAATTCAAAGACTCGTTTGCCACGTTTTGGGGACAATGGATTGAAGAGTGCTGGGACAGCGACCTCATTCACAACACGGACATCGTCGAGAAGGTCGTGGACTGGCTCAACTCTCTTTCGAGGTACTCATTTACACACACAGAACCTATCAACCAACCAACCTACACAACCCTTCATCACACTCGTATTACGTCGTCTAGCTCGGAAGTCCGCGCCATCCGGCACACGACAACATTTGCTGCGTACGCGATCGGCAACGCGTTGGTCGCCCGCGCCCGCCAACTCACCGACCAACTGGTCCCGATCAACCGGCAATGTGCCGCAGTTGCCGACACATCCAAGACGCCGAAGTCGTCCAAGAAGAACAACCCCAAGCTGGCGCGACTGCTCGAGCTCAAAGGCACGTACGACGAGCAGCTGGCCAACACCCAGACGTACTTGACGTCGTTGTTCAATGGCGTGGTGGTACACCGGTACCGCGACACGATGCCAGAGCTCCGCCTCGAGTCTGTGCAAACTCTGGGCCATTGGATTCATACGCTCCCGGAAGAGTTTCTCGTCGACAATTACCTCAAGTTTCTGGGCTGGATGCTCAACGACAAGTCGGCCAAAGTGCGCGTCGCGGTCGTGAATGCCCTCCAAACGATCTACTCGGTACTTCTACGAGATTGTTACATCAAAAGATTGAACCCTGTCGCAAATGAGTTAGCACGAAGACAATGCCGACAAGTTGGCGCTGTTCACGTCTCGATTCATGCGACGATACCTGGAAATGTGCGACGACGTTGACGACGACGTGGTGCTGAGTATCGTGGAGCTCATCGCCAAGATTGACCGGTATGGCTCATTTTTTATCATTCTTGTATGTGGGGACTGTGGTTATTGTACCCCTCCCTATCTATCTATTGTCGTAACAACAAGTACCTATTGCGTTAACTACAAGTACCTATTGCATTAACTACAAGTACCTATTGCGTTAATTACAAGTACCTATTGCGTTAATTACAAGTACCTATTGCGTTAACTACAAGGACCTATTGCGTTAACTACAAGGACCTGTTGCGTTAACTACAAGTACCTATTGCGTTAACTACAAGTACCTACCTACGTGGGGGTCTTATTACCTGCATGCGTCGTCGTGTATGTATTGTGATTGTGGATAGGTGTATTGTGCTAATTTAGCCAAAATGTGGATCTTTGTGTGCTGATATGATTCACCAACTCCATCGATTGCGTTGTTGTACTGCGTGTCTGTATGTTTGTTATATGGCCACTTGATTCATGCTGTGGGTATGGATTGGTCGATCGGTCGATTTGATGCTCCTCATTGAGCACGTTCCAAATGGATTGAATCGACTTGACCATATACATACATTATATACATATATATCTATCTATCGTTATACAGTATCATGTGTACTTACTTGGGGACGTAGACTGAACCTGCTGGACGGGGAAAGCGACTTGACGGTCGTGGAGCGCTTGGTGTTTGACGCAGACAGTCGCATCCGTCGGTCGGCGGCAGAGTTCGTATGCTTGCAGTACGACGCATTTGGAGTGACCGACGACGACATGACGGAGGCCCAGCTGATCGTGCAGGCGGTGGCCCTGGTCGAGTTCGCAGAAGAATACAACGACAAGGACAACGACGACAGCATCGACTGGCTCGTGTCTGCGTTCTGGGATAACGAAGATTGCCGTACGGACACTTGTTCTTCATATATACCCGTGGGGCGTGTCGATGATGTCGGTATTTTGTGTAGAGGTGTTGTCCAACTGGCGACTGCTCACGGTGTTATTGGGCTCGGACACGCACGAACCGTCGTTGTCAAGTCATCAGCAGGTACCCAAAACCATATATATTTATATTTCTGGTGTCTATATATATATATCTTTATATATGGAACAAGGCTGATAGTTTTTTCTACGTAGACACTCTTGATTCGATTGTTGACGGGCGTGGTGAAACAACTCGTGGCAGCCGGCGCGACGTCCAAGAAACCGCGCCAAAAAAGAGGCGACGATTCGGTACAGTGTGCAGTTTAGTGCCTCTTGTCACTTTAATACTCGTCGAATACATATTGTAACCATATCTGTTGACAATACACATGGTATTGTAGGAACCGATGACAGTGTTCTTTTGCCGCGAAATCCCGACGTTGATGCTGCGGTTCCAGTCAGAGCCGGCCAAGTTGTGTCTGCTGCTGCAGCTGGTGTCGACGTTGGACTGGGACGACGCGACCATCATGAACCAGCACAAGAAGCACGTGGAGGACCTACTCGGGCGGCTGAAGCATGCGTACTCGACGCACTCGGACGAGCGCTTCCTCGAGGAGCTGTCGCGCTGCATCCATGGCTTGACGGCATCCAAGACGGCGCTGACCCGGCAAGCGGCCGTGCTCGAGCAGGAACTCATGCGCGACGCCATCGACCACACCACAGCGTTGCTGGCCCAAGACACGAAAACGAAAGACTCGGAGTTTGCCCTGCAAGCGTGGCTCGCGCGGCTCCACTTTCTCAGCGGGTACATCAACGTGAAAGACGTCGAGGTCGTCGGGAATGTCCCCGCGGCGCTCGTGGCCCTTGTGACGGAGCGCACCAACTTGCTCGACGTCGCCGGCCCCCGGCTGTCGTCGTCGTGTGTCCGGTACGCCGCCCACATCCTGTTCAAGGAGTTTCTGTGGTCGTCGGTGCCGCTATTCGATGCGATCGAAGACGTTTCTTCGCCCGTTGACGATGCATTGACCACTGCCATGGATGCGTTTGTAAAGCGCCGCGACGTCCTGGACGTCCTGCTGTTCCGCCTCCTCTCGGTGCACCTGAGTGAACCTGTGACGCCGTTCACCGACCACGTGCTCGACACCCCCGAGCTCGAGCTCACGGACGACCAGATTCCGTACGTCAATGGACTCCATGAAACGGCGTTTTTGCTGCTGAGCGACTTGCGGTGTCTGTGCGCCCAGCGCTTCGAAGCTGCGGTCGCCCCCTTCAACCGCTTGGCCTACCAGCCGCACAAGAACTTGCTCATGCTGTCGCAGGCATACTACGAGCGCATCATGGAACAAGAAGACGATGGAAACGACGGGGTCCGAGACAGGGTGGTCGTCGCGCTGGCGTGTACGTCCCTGTGCAACCCCCAAAACAAGCGGCAGGCGGCGTCCGTGCTCCAGCAAATGACCAGCGATGCATTCCAGCCGCTTGTGAAGGCGTTCGGCAAGCGTCTGATGGGCGTGTCAGTCGTCAAGTACTTGGAGATCCAAATGCTGTCGCTGCAGCAGTCGTTCGAGGAGGCTTCGTCCCCGACCGCTACCGTCGACTTGGCCAAAGTCCTCAACCAGAGTTTGGGCACAAAGGTCCCGGCGAGTGTTCGGGGCAGCTTGTTGAAATTTATGTCGGAAGGCTTACGGTACGGGCTAGAAACGCCTGAAAACGGCTCGTTTCTAGCTGCGTTAAAGCCGTACCTGGCCAGATTGGACAAGGCTGGAACGAAGGCGCTGCACGGCCACTTTGTTAAACTTTTTGCCGCCAAACAAGGCGGGGACGACGAAGACATCCGACTCGACCCGGCGGTGGCCGACATGGAAGCGCTCTTGAGCGGGGAAAAGGACTTGGTCGTGGCGCCGCCCAAGCCAGCGGCGACGCTCAAGCGGGCTCGAGACAACTTGTCCGACGACGAAGGGACCAGCCCTCGGTGGACGACCACGACCCGTCGGTCGCGCAACCTGTCGGACGACGAAGCCGACGAAAACGACCCACGGGGCACGCCACCTCCCCAGTCGTTTGGCCGACAACAGTCCCCCAAGGCGCGCAAACCTCGGGCGGCGGCGAAACCAACCAGTGCAGCCAAAGAGAAGGACACGCAGGCATTTAGCAACAAAGCACACGCGGCTGCTACGCCGACGCCATCAAAGAAGGAAAGCGACGACGACAGCGACAACGACGCCGCCGCACAACCTTCGAAGCAACCGACCAAAACACCTCCGTCCAAGACTGCTAGCGGCAAGAAGAGCCACGTCACGCCGACACGACGGTCCACGCGCAGTAAAGTGGTGGTGGATTTGAATTATGGCGAAGACAGTGACGAAGAGCCATCGAGGAGTGCTCGCGATGAACAAGAGGAAGAATCATCCCCTTCCCGCAAGCGAAAGCCCATCGATGAAAGTGCTACTGCGACAACGTCCAAGGACGAGGACGACATTGCTCAAGGTGACGACGACGACGAAGTTGTAGGGTTCCGCCCCAAGCGAAGGAGGCAATAGGATGTTAGGATCCAAAGAGACATGCATCGTTGAGATTGGATGGTCGTGCCAAGACCAGGGATTGCGGTGCCTACAGTATCTAAAGTGAAACAGAAGTTTGCACGTCAATTTACCTTTACATTTTTGTGCGTTTTTATTATCAACATGAACTCGTTGGGTGAACAACACATTGCACCAGGATTACATTGTCCATATTGACCTCAATTACTTACAAATAAGTAGTACGTACTACAGAGTACTACTCAACTCGCGACCACTCAACTCCACCACCGCAGCCTCCACACCAAGAAGTGCGTCGAGGTTGGGTTTGCCTACTGTCCCCCGAACGTGTCACTCACGTCGCTAATCAAAACCAACAAACTTCCAGACGTGACGTCCATCGCTGGCTTTCAGTCGATGCAGCTGCACCATGTCTCACAAGTTACAACACTTCTCAACACTGACCACGCCAAATTTGACTTGTCCCTCCACTGGACGGAGGCGTCCGTCGCCCACTGGCTCCTTCCCCGGTCGAACGTCGTGGATGCCTTCGTTGTAGTCGACGTCGGCACGAACCGTGTCACAGACTTTTGCTCGTACTACCACGTTCCCATGTCCGTGCTCAACCATCCCCAGCACACGACCATCTACACGGCGCAGTCTTTCTACAACGTGGCGACGTCTGTGCCGTTGCCCGACCTTGTGCGGGATCTGATGGTCAAGGCCAAAGCGAACAACATGGACATTTTCAGTGCCGCAGACATCATGAACATGGACGAGGTGTTGGCCCCCCTCGGGTTTGAAGCTGGGGGCGGACACTTGCACTACTACTTGTTCAATTGGCGTTGCCCGCAGATGACTCGACGCAACATCGGGTTGGATGGTCAACGTACATGGTTCAGTTGGCGAGCAAGATTCAGTTGTTTGTTGAAGGAGCTATCGATTGATTGTTTGGGCGGAATTCTACGATTTGTGCATCTAAATTCCATGTTAATATCGAACGGGTGGATGATGTCGAGCGCAGACCACATTTACCCTTTCAGAAACTTCAGTGGCGTCGCTCGACCCTGGATTGGTCACAGTATCCGTTAGGACATTTCAAGCTGTGCGCGCCACCCAGAACTTGAAGGCGGGGGGCTGCAACGACGAGGGGGGGCTGACGGAGGTGCCATGTCGAGTTGCTTCAAAGCCGCAAAGATATCAGCTGGATTCGCTTGATATGACGTCTGCGCGGACGGCTTTGTGGTTCTGTAGCCATGATAAGGGGATAGAATATGAAGAACACGACCACGGTAGTGTTTGGACAGTGTTGCTATCCTTCCATGGATCTCGTCCTACTGCAGCCGTACGAATGATCTTTCTCGATGGGTATGATCTTTCTCGGTGGGTGCTAGGAAAATACGGAAGCGTCGTTCTCGAGAGCGTCAAGCGACTTTGCTTGGTTCGACAAGACAACGCCATTGACGTGTTCCTTGATTTCCCCCGTGATGATCGACACGTGCTTGGACACCTCTGCAACGACGAGTTGCTATACTATATGCTCGTCAAACTGTAAACACTGTGCTCGAAAATAACATCCGTGGACTTGCTCTGCGTATCGAGCAAGAAAATGCTTCCAGACTTGGACATCGCTTCATCAGCAATTCCGCCTTCGATTGGACCAATTGGTTGGTGGTTTGTCAACTATACTTCGGATGGTGTGGTAGCGGAAAAAATGCAAAATCCAAATGCTTTATCAAATAACGTTTGCCGTTCGAGGACTATAGCTGCAGGTGATGCTCCACAATCATGAACATGTCATTACTGCCCAGCTTCATGCAAGTAGAGCCAGGTGTAAAGTTGGGTGCAAATTGTCGTCCTAACGACACTTAAGTGTTGGTAGGATTCTCAAGATGACTTCGAATTCGTGAACAGTCATCGAGCAGAGTTACTTTCTGGCTTCAACTGACGGAAAACGTCGAGTTTGATCGCCGTTTGGAGCGCCGCCTAGGTGAGTTGTAGCGTTCGGTCCATATCACTTGCTAGTAAATTCAATTGGTTTGCGTCTTAGTCGGACAATTAGATTGGAATTGAGTCGAACAGTCAGACAAAGACGAGATCTATGGAAGGATAGCAACACCGTCGTCCAAACAATCAAGTATTTATTCTTCATTTTGCCACCTAAACCCCACCATGCCTGCCGCAAAGCGCAGCGAAATCATCGCTCCATCGTCCGCCTCGAACCAATCGGACGCGGCTGATTTCCACGCGGTGTTGAAGCAACTCAACTTGGCCCCCGTGTCCGCCCCGTCATCGAAGCCCCCTGCCTTCAAGTTCTGGCGTACGCAACCCGTCATGACTTTGCACGACACATTGTCGTCTTCTCAAGATCACGGGTACTGTGACCAGTCCATTCCCAAGTCGAAAGTTCGAGCGACGCCACTCAAGTTGCCAGAAGGGTTTGCATGGTCCGACTTCGACATCACCAACCCTTCCGAGGCTAATGAGCTATACAAATTCCTAGCCGCCCACTACTGCGAAGACAGCGACGGTCGGTTCCGGTCGGACTACTCACTCGAGTTTCTCATGTGGGCGTTGACTTCTCCTGGGTACGTGGCAGACTGGCACGTCGCCATCCGCCACACCTCCTCAGGGAAACTCATGGCGTTCTTCGCTGGAACCCCGAAGGCCATCCGCATCCACGACGACATTGCACCATCGTGCGAAACCAACTTTTTGTGCATCCACAAGAAACTTCGAAACAAACGACTTGCGCCAGTGCTCATCAAGGAGCTGACCCGTCGGTCGAACCTCCAGGGGGTGTGGCGGGCCGTGTACACCGGCTCGTCCCGCTTACCGACCCCCGTCGCGACCACTCAAATCCACCACCGCAGCCTCAACACCAAGAAGTGCGTCGAGGTTGGGTTTGCCTACTGTCCCCCGAACGTGTCACTCACGTCGCTAATCAAAACCAACAAACTTCCAGACGTGACGTCCATCGCTGGCTTTCAGTCGATGCAGCTGCACCATGTCTCACAAGTTACAACACTTCTCAACACTGACCACGCCAAATTTGACTTGGCCCTCCACTGGACGGAGGCGTCCGTCGCCCACTGGCTCCTTCCCCGGTCGAACGTCGTGGATGCCTTCGTTGTAGTCGACGTCGGCACGAACCGTGTCACAGACTTTTGCTCGTACTACCACGTTCCCATGTCCGTGCTCAACCATCCCCAGCACACGACCATCTACACGGCGCAGTCTTTCTACAACGTGGCGACGTCTGTGCCGTTGCCCGACCTTGTGCGGGATCTGATGGTCAAGGCCAAAGCGAACAACATGGACATTTTCAGTGCCGCAGACATCATGAACATGGACGAGGTGTTGGCCCCCCTCGGGTTTGAAGCTGGGGGCGGACACTTGCACTACTACTTGTTCAATTGGCGTTGCCCGCAGATGACTCGACGCAATGTCGGGCTCGTGCTGCATTGAGGATAGTTAAATGTAGTTCATACGTATACGTCGTTGCAATATCTATAATACACTAGGCTTTCACGGGAAGGTGTCGCATAACGTTGTTTGTGCATCAATAGGTAAACTAGTGACAAAAGTTTTGAAACCACTGCCAGACTATGTCTAAAAATAGCATGGCCGAGAGTGGTGAAACTGATCACAAAGTGCAAAATGAGCCGGAATATTGCCTTCTCGCGGCCGGCGACATACAACCCCAGTTTGGTGAAGAAAGGGTCGACCGTTGATGACGACGAGGATGCAGCAAGGCGCCAGCAGCTCAAGGAAGAGCTTGGACTGACAGAAGACGACGACGACGATGGCGGCGAGTCTTGCCGTCGCAGCGGCGGTGGCGCGTCGGACGAGTGGCGCCAGCGTTGCGACGATGCCATGGCCAAGCTCAAGATTGCGTTGGCGAACGAAGAGAAGGCACAGAGCTCGTTGAGCAAGCTACAACTGCTGAGCAAGTCCCAAACGGCAATCTTGAAATCGACCTTTGACAAGAAACTCAAATCCAAAGAAACGATCGTGCTCGACTTGCTGCAAGTGATTTCGGACCACGAGTCCAAGCTCCAAAAGAGCGGCATCCCGTTCGACGCGTTCGAAGGCCCGATTAAGGAAGACGTAACGGCAACAGTAGGTCCGGATGCCACCGTGGACGCGTTCGCGACCCTCAAGGCGCAAGTTGACTCGCTCACCGACGAAAATGTCAGTCTTCGCTCGAAACTGACCAGCGCGACCGCCTTCCCGGCCACGACAAGTGCCACCGGCAACCCCAAACTTGAAAAAGACTCGCCGCAACTTCTCAAAAAAATCGCCACATTGGAGAACGAAAAGCAGAGCTTGCTGCAACTGCTCAAGGACGCGCAGTTGAAACTGAGTGCGCAAAAGGCAGCCAAACCGACGTCGTCGGGGGACGCCACTCCACCCCCTGCACCACCTTCCGTCGTCAATACCGACGAATTCAAGGACCTGGAGCGTAAGCTGGCCAAAGCCGAGGGGGACCTGAAAAAAGCTAGCCAAAAGGTATATCGGTTATGATGAACGATACGATAGCACATTTGATACTATGGGCTAACTGTGCATATTATAGTCGGAAGCGGCGGAGAAGGAGTTGGCGACACTCAAGTCGAGCGACACATCGTCCACGGACAAGATCAAGTTGGCCGAGGCTGAGGCGCAGCTGACCGCCACAACCGCCAAGATGACCGACATGAAGATGGAGCTAGAAGCGTCGTTCCAAGCCAAACACGACAAGCTCAAGCAGGCGGCGGAGGCGGACTTGGCCAAGTTGAAGGACCAGGCGAAGAAGTCGATCCTGGATCTACGCAAGAAGCTCGAGACGACGTCACGGTCCAGCGCCGACGTGAACGCGCGGCTCGCCAAGGCCAAGAGTGACATCACCAAGCACAAGGTGGAGCTCAAGGCGTTGCGGGGGGACGTGGGGGCGCTGATGACGACGCTGGGGGCGGCAGCCAAGGACATGGCGGGCAAGATCGAGGGGCGCGTGCGGGCGCAGACGGACGCGCTGGCCGGCGTCGTGGAAAATTACAAACGCGAGATGAAGGAGCGCAAGAGGCTGTTCAACATGGTGCAGGAGCTGCAAGGCAACATCCGCGTGCTGTGCCGGTTCCGTCCGATCTCCAAGAGCGAGACGGCCAACGGCAGCAAAGTTGTGACGAAATTCACAGGCCACGAAGAAGTGTCGCTAGTGGGGGACAAGGGTAAGAGCAAGGCGTACGAGTTCGAACACGTGTTTGACATGGCGTCGACCCAGGACCAAGTGTTTGCCCAAGTCAAGGTATGTCATCGTGGCATACCTGTTTGCTACCGTCGTACTAGTATCTCACATACATGACGTCATTGCGACATATAGTATATATATATCATTCCTTGAAGTATCATAAATCCTTTTCAAGATCATGTCATATATCATTTCTCATGATGACGTAGCCATTGATTACGTCCGTGATGGACGGGTTCAACGTGTGCATCTTTGCATACGGCCAAACCGGGTCGGGGAAGACGTTTACCATGTCTGGATCGGCCGACAACCCCGGCATCAACCCCCGCGCGTTGACCGAATTGTTTGCGCTCAAGGACAGTCGAGCGAAAGAGTACAGCGACGACATCAACGTCAGCATTATGGAAATCTACAACGAAGTCATCCGAGATCTACTGGCCGACAACGCCGCCAGCACGTACGTCCGCATCCAACGATCTCAATTGTGCTATGAGGGTGACGATGTGTATTTTTGATAGGAACCTGTCAGTGCGACAAGGCACCAACGGCAACTTTGTGCAGGGCCTGACCATGGTTCCAGTGAAAGAAGCGGCCGACGTGTTCGGGTTAATCTCCAAAGGCAACCAGAATCGGTCCACCCACGCCACCGACATGAACGAGCACAGTAGTCGCAGTCACTCGATCCTGTCCATCTACGTCAAGAGTGTCAATTTGGCCACAAACACCGTCGCAAACGGCAAGGTACACTTTTGTACTGGTATTTTGAACTGTCTAACGCTGTCGCAGCTGCACTTGGTCGACTTGGCCGGGTCCGAGCGGCTCTCCAAGACGGGTGCCGAAGGGCTGCGGTTGAAGGAGGCGCAAAACATCAACCAGTCCCTGTCCACGCTGGGCAACGTCATCCAAGCGCGCGCCAACAAGCAGAAGCATGTGCCGTACCGCGACTCGTCGCTCACGTACCTGCTGCAGGACTCCCTCGGCGGCGATTCCAAGACGCTCATGGTCGCGTGCTCGTCGCCAGTCGACTACAACGCTGAAGAGTCATTTTGCACACTTAACTTCGCCAGTCGCGCGAGGTGCGTGGAAATGGGAAAAGCCACCAAACACGTGGCAAAGGCAACCAAAGAGTAGTGTGTGTGGCATTTCGTAAAGCACAACCAAATGCACGTGAAAACAATGCTGCACTTTGATGTGATCGCAAAGTATACATGTCATTGCTGCGGTCGACATCGTCGGAAGAATCGCGTGGCTCGTTCGTGTTGTGTGTCAATTGATCTTAATGCTAACGTTATTGGCTAATATGCCAACTTTAAGAATTAGAACTATATCCAGCCAATCAGAATATCCAGCGTGATTCAATGATGATTAGAAAACCACGGTAGTTTATATTAATACTATAAATATTATTTCGAAGTATTAATAATACCAGTAGTACTCGGGAGTAGGAGTAGCACACTCACTATTAATACCTACTAATAGTACTATTAATAATACTAGTATTTGACAATAATTCGAGAGACACCCATCGAATAAAGCATCGATTGTTCGCTAGTATATTACCCAACCAAATATCCGGATATCCTTGGCAGCGCGAAAGTCAACAATCAAGATGGGCAAGGCATGTCGGGACATGGCAGAAGCTCTGCGCGACTGCATGTGTGAGAAGGAGTGCATGAGCGATGGCACCAAGACGCTGAAGGAGTGCTTACGAGCGAAGGAGTTCCGACATGAGTGCAAGGTACGATGTCTCTCCATCCTTGAACAAGACCGTCAACTCTTGTAGGAGTACCGCCTCGCATACTTTGAGTGCAAGCGAGGACAGGTTGACATGCGGCAACGAATTCGTGGCCCCAAAGGGGGCGCCACGGCCATATAGTAGCTCCATTGAGACCTTAACGCGATTTCGTCTACCCTCGTTCGACGTTTGCGTCGTTGACTTCTATTGCGTACAGGTCGCATTTGGTTCGATCCTGAGATATGCTTGGGGTGCCCGTGTCGTCGAAATAAGAGAAGTTACATTGGTGGAGGCTCGTCACGAGCGCCGAATCCGCCGCGAGTGGAGCACGGACAGGTCGCTGTCGTTCTTGGTCGATGGATGCTGTTGCTGCTGCTCCAAGCCTTCGCTTCCATTGCCATGTCCATCGCTTGATGGGCGCATCGTTGCATGTTGTGGCTCCTCCATCATGCCATGGAGGCCTCGTTCACTCAGCTTAGCGCTAGTATTACGAGAGTCCTCGCGATGGCTGGCCGTTGCCGCAAAACCACCATGGCTTCTGTGAGTTTTGCCATGGATGCTTCCAGCTTGGTCACTCGTCCAGACACATCGTGCATGCAGGACATAGCCTCATAGAGCATCCGAAGCGCCACCTTATTGGTACCGATGCCGCTGCCGTCGCCCGTGGATCCCATGCGCGACAGGGTGTTGGCCGTCACGGATGGTTTCCGAATGACTTGGGGCCGATAGATGTCGTTCTCGTACTTGTTCATGATGATCGCCTCCAATTTGACGCGGTCGTCCTTGAACCAAGACAGAATGGACGAAAAGTGCGCGTGATCGAACACCCCCAGCACACAAAACGACCGCGCGCGGACGCTGGCGGGGCGGCGGCAGTCCATCATGAGCGCGATTTTTAGCAAATGCCTTAGCAACGAATGGACAAGATGTGTGGTTGGTATGTATTCTTACCTCCAAAGTAGTCGCCAGCAGAAATGCATTTGGTTTTCTCGACCGGACGAGCCGCGTCCCGGCCCTATTCCTTGGCCATGATCACTTCGCACTCGCCCCGTTGAATGAAAAACCTGACCAGGACGTATCAGAATCAGGATCATGGCGTTCCACATCAGCTTTGCGAATGTCAGAATCCGAATCATATATATATATATATATATATATATATATATAATATATATATCAGTCTTAGAATCAGAATCATATACATAGTTCACCGAGCCGTCCATACATTTCCATGCCCATTTCCGCGGCCGACACGACATAGTCTTCGGGCGCTCAACACGATCTCTTGGACGACTTCGGGGTTGCATTCTTGCATCATGGGCACGCTTCGAATCATGCGCTAAATGCAAAGCATGTCATCAACAACAACCCTAAGCGGTTACTACTCCAAGTCTCTTACATATACGTAATAACGTTATATACATACATACAGCGTTGAGACAAATCATGATTTCTCGTTGCAAGTTGGTCGATAGTTCCGACACAAAATGAGCGGGTTTCCCGTCCAGTGTGTGGTATTGCTGCCACAGATACGTGTAATACAAATGCACGCGCTGCTGGAGTTCATGGGGAAGGCCCTCGTCTTGCATGCTTTCGTACATGCCTTCCATCTTGTCGTGGTACGTATCCGAGTCCGACGTAAGGCTTTCCACGAGAATCGACACGTTGCCAAAACACAGTCGCAATGACTATAGCCCCCACAATCGACGCCATGCTCAGGTACGCCATCTCGTACTCGTACACTGGCAGTATGTCCTGGCCCATGACCACCATCATCATGGCGTAGTAGCTACGGACGTAGTTGTGGGCCATGTCGTTACGGATAAAGTTGGCGTCCCCCCACCCCCCCCGGCCAACTCCCCATGGGGTACCAGCTGCACGCCATCACGAGGACGATGCAAAGCGTGGTGGCAAGCAGCCGCAAAAAGTACATGACAATCGACCCCTTGGAGTACTGGAACAACCACCACATGAACACCTCAGTGTTTTTGAGAAACTTAAGCACCCGGAAGATGCCCGCGAGCCGAGGGATCCGTAGGATGCGGATCATGCCGAGGTAGTTCACCCCTTCGTTTCCCTCGGACATGGTGTTGCCCATCCAGTCGACGGGGAAGGCTGCTAATGCGTCTAGCCATATCCATCCTAACACCCCCCCCCAAAAAAAAATATCAAATCAAGGTCAACAGCATGTATTTGCCTCACACGATATAAAATGGATACATCATGAAAACGGGGCGGCCTCTAGGGGGTATAGCCATACCATGAACGTAATGCATCGCAATGCGTGCGTGGGAAACTTGTCCTTGGCGGCGCGGTCGGTTGAGTACCGCAGCAGGATGTGGCGCTGGTCGTCATCCGGAAACGATTCGTAGAACGCAACGTTGAAGTTGACGAGGATGTCCATGACAAACAGCATGTCGGTAACGCGGTCCACAGTTTGCCACGGCGTGCCTTGGATGGTGGGATTGAAGCCCATGTTAAACGGGATGTAGATCATCGGGTAAAAGATCACAAACGCCAGCGTCACATGCCACACGCGGAGGACGGTTGACGTGTGGTGGATCGTTGGAAGCCACGGCGGCGACGACGACGCGTCGGCGGTCTCGTCCGCCCCGGACACAGGCGACCGCCGCCGCTTGCGCAGGTTGAACAGCGTGACGTGACCATTTCATGGTGGGCTTCCTCGGTCCTCCTCGTCATGGAGTTCCGGCGAGACGCTAATTTCTTGAGCTTACCCACCGCCGACGCGGCGCGACTGGGTGGCTCGGTGTCGTTGGAGACTGGCCCTTTCTGTCCCACGAGCTCGCTCTCCAACTTGGCCACTCGCTTGCGAAGGCTGTCGCCGGCTTTGAAGCTCGGGTCGATAGATTTGGCCCGCGCCTCCAACCCCCATGATGTCTTGACTGTGAAACTCCTGCTCGAGAGGTCGGATCCGATGAGGTTGCGACCTTTGTAGCTGCCCTGGGAGCTTTTGCGACGAGATGGAACTACCACCGTCGGCACAGGCACCACTTTGACCGCTCGCTGCTGCATCATTGGAGTGTCGCTGCTTACGTTGGCCACTCTCTGATTCCTGTTATGTTGACCCGTAACCGATGATACACGAGATGAACCTGACTAAACATAACGCCACAATGTAACTATCGTAGCACATACTAGTAACCCAGTAGCTCGGTTCACACTACTTGTGTAGTTGTCCTACGTGGGGGCCGCCTTTGCGTGTGAACTAAAGGAACGCATGCCATGTAATCTTGCAATGGGCTCGTTACGATTGGAATGCACATACTTCGAAGTAGTACAGTCAATCGCGTTATGCGCGTGTTAACGCAATCCTACTTAAAGTTTGGCCACCTTACGGCACGTCACTTTTTCGACAAACGTAATCCCTTCCTTGGCCAACGCTTCGAGCGCCGGTTCATAAATGTCTGGTGTCGTTGGTGCGAGAATCCCCTTCTGGAGCACTTTGCCGTTTACCACTAGCTGCGTCACCACGCCCGCAGTGACACCCACGGACCTGGCCATAAAAGTGCCCTCGCGATCTCCGTATCTAGTCAAACCAAATCCCCCAGGCAGGGTTCATGCCGTCTCTCTTTCTTGTCCTGGACATGCGATGCGGACATACCCCATCAACGATGCGGAATGGACTTCGACAGCGCCATCCCCAATATCCACCTCGACGGCGTGCGTGAGCACCACCATGTCCCTGTCCTCCGCATCCATCGACAGCCGTTGCTCGAGCACGTTTGCAAATGCTTGCAGGTATGTCGTCGCGTCTTGCGTCGGCACTTGATCGCCTATCCAGGCAAAGAATGCCGTGGTATGTTGGCCCAGCTGCTTGTCCGTTGGGTTGTTATCGTGTAAAACTATCTCAAGGAGATGCGACCACTGCTTTATGTCAACGTTAGGGGGAAGAGATGCCGTGGACAGCAGCCCCAGTGCCACACAGTCTTGCATGATGGCGCTGAAGCCACGGTACCGATATGTGCCTCGAAAGATAGTTGGAACGTCAGGGATGCCGTACAGGTCGGCATAAGGCAACGCGTTGCCGTTCGGCAGCTGCTCCAACGCCAGGGCAGGAACTGTGCGCACCGGCGTCGCGTGGGAAAGCATGTCTGGCCCTGCGATGGAAACGACGCGGCCGAGTTCTTTGAACTGGGCTGGACGCTGTAAAGCCTTGAGGGCTCCTGGGATAGACATGAGCATGCTTCGATTGTGGAGCCGAAACAATCGAAGGACTAACCTAACGGCGACCATGAAAACTTGTAGCCGAGAGGGTTGTCGGCCGACTCTGGCGCTGGCAACCCTCCGCACACGGACGTAAATTTGGAGATGACACCCCGGCCAGACGCTTGGATCGACGCAATCATGGACACCGCTCCCATGTGATCCTAACGACGAAGAGAGCGGGATAAGAGAAAGAAGTGGGTACAACGATGAAGATGTACAAGGCCAGGGTCGAGCCCACATTCGCAGAGAAGGGGAATGTTCGCGTCAACGGCCGCCTGATGCAGGTGGCGCAGACGCGGAGACACGTAACTTGCAGTGACCAGGGGGGTCGAAGTGGCAATGCAAGCGCGGGCAAGGGTGTACTGCGCATCTTCAGGCACGAGAGCAACCACACATGCAAAATAATTTCGTTTGAGGAAGTCTGTGATGAGTGCGAGCGACGCCGTCGTGTCCACTGCCGACATTACCTCGGTCGTAAGATTCGTCCGATGCAACTGTCCAATGCGGTCGGCGAAGGTCGCCAGCTGGAATGCATCGTCGGATACCAGGGTCATGTGGGTTGTTGGGTTGCGAGTCAGCAGCTCCACCAGAGGGTATGCCACTCGTCCTGAACCGAAGCACACCACCCTGCCAGGTAGGGAAGCATCAACTTTGGATGGCATCTTCGAATGTCAAGTGTGTTATCCGGAACAATCATGGCGTACCGGTATATCCGGAAGATTAGCAAATAATATCTGGAGGATATGATTCGCCAAAATCAAACTATATCCACCAATCATATCAGTTAAATAGATATATTCAACTAATCAAGGGGTAAGATAGTCGCAGCACAGGTAACCACAAAAAAAGTTGCGATATCATGTCGTCCAAGCACGAAGACGACGCACACGTCGAAGAGGTGGAGCTCGAGGTGAAGGACGGAGACAAGTCGTCCGTGGAGCTCGTGACCGTGGAGGAGCAAGAGGAGTTCTTGCGCGTGCTGAAGCAGCTGAACTTGGTATCGGCCCCGCCAGCGCCCAAGAAGGCCGAGTCGGAGTACAAGTTTTGGAAGACCCAGCCTGTGCCGAGCATCACAGAAAACCCCGTGGACCACGCTCCCATCGATAGCATCAAGACAGTCGACGATGTGCGCGCCACGCCATTCAAGCTCCCTGCCGGCTTTGGCTGGTACGACTTGGACCTGACCGACGGCACGGAAACCAAGGAGGTGTACGACTTGCTGTGCCAAAACTACGTCGAGGACGACGACAACATGTTCCGGTTCGACTACTCGATCGAGTTTCTCCAGTGGGTGCTAACGTCCCCGGGGTACCACAAGTCGTGGCACGTGGGCGTGCGCAATGACAAGACGGGCAAACTCATGGCGTTCATCAGCGGCATCCCGACCAAGATCAAGGTGTACGAGAACTTGATGCCCATGGCCGAGATCAACTACCTGTGCGTGCACAAGAAGCTCCGGTCGAAGCGGTTGGCGCCGGTGCTGATCAAGGAGATCACGCGCCGGGTCAACCTATTGGACGTGTGGCAAGCCGTGTACACGGCGGGCGTCGTGCTGCCGATGCCCGTGTCCACATGCCGGTACTACCACCGCAACTTGAACCCGAAGAAGTTGATTGATGTCGGGTTTTCCCAGTTGCCACCCAACATGTCGATGACTCGCACGATCAAGATGTTCAAGCTTCCGGACGAGCATGACCTGGCCAACTTTGGGCCGATGCAGCCCAAGCATGTGTCATGCGTCACGGGACTTCTCCGCCGGTTCCAGAAGAAATTTGACCTCAAGGCCGACATGAACGAGAGCGAAGTCGCCCACTGGCTGCTGCCGCGCGCCGGCGTTGTCAACACGTACGTGGTGGAGGACCCGCTGTCGCACAAAGTGACCGACTTCTGCTCGTTCTACCACCTGCCCAGCACCATCATCGGCAACACGACGCACAAGACGCTGTTCGCTGCGTACTCGTTCTACAACGTCGCGACCACCGTGCCCCTCACGCGCCTCATGCACAACTGTCTGATCATGGCCAAGGCGGCCAATTTGGACGTGTTCAACGCTCTCAACTTGATGGAGAACTCCGAGTTCCTCGACGAACTCAAGTTCGGCATGGGCAGCGGTGAGCTCCAGTACTATTTGTACAACTGGCGCTGCCCCCGCATGCCCCACAACAAGGTCGGGCTCGTGCTGCAGTAGGTAGGGGTGGTTGCTATGAGTACATAATTGTAGTAGTAGTAATAGTACTACTGTTGTAGTAGTAATACTATTCGAGCGACGATTCGTTTTGCCGTGGCTAAATATAGCCATGAAACGTGGCCGTGTGGTTGTGTATGTACAAACTGCTACCACCGAAAGTACATTCATTCAACTACAAGCATGGACTTTGAAGAGTTGATGCAAGAAGTGGAATCGGCGGTGCAGGACACCCCGCCTGCGACCAAAGCGCACCACCGCCACACGATCATGTCGTACGAACGACTCGCATATTTCGATGACGTGGCACCGTCTGTCTCATGCCATCCCATCACGAGTAGGCACGTCGACAAGCAACCGTCGTCGTATTCGGCAAAGACCACCCCGTTGCCTGTGAACTCAAAGTCGGACTTGGATGACCTGCTCGACATCGTGGATGGCCCTGACACCATTAGTGGCAGCAAGAGGAGCTCGAACCATCCAACTACTTCTGCGACTAGTACGTCGCACATCAAGCAACCGACCTCCTCTACCTCGAACAACATGGCCTTCTCGGCATCTTCCAAGCGGTACGTACTCCTTGAATGCTGGTGTAGCCAGGTCCTGGAAGTTGACGAGGATCGGGTGTAGATGCAATGCCGTGCTCCTTGCCGGGTCGAACGTGAAGCACGGGGTCAGCACCAGCTCCGTCAACCCGCAGTACGTTAGTTACTACATCCCTCTGCATTCAAAGTATAAGATAATTGCGGCTAAAATGAATGGACGGTAGAGCGTGTTCGAACCTCCGATGCAACGAATGTGACTTTCTCGTCGTGCAATTTGAACACACGTACGCGCCAACCACCACCAAGTGTCTGTTGTGACTTTGGTTTCATAGGAAATGGGCCGACTCCGCCGACTACATGTTCTTCCGGGAAAATGCCCCCAACGAAGCCAAGTTGCGCCGCAAGATGGAATCTGCGCAGGGTAAACTAAGATCGCAAACCACCTTTCTTGATGCTGACTAGGAGCGTTTGCGTATGCGTGTCAATGCAAGTGGGCAACCGTCACGACCAAGGCCTCCCCCGACAGCCTTCACGTCAAGTGGTGCTGCGCTGGTCATTAACCATCCATGCTACGACCCACACATCGCTACACTGTACTTGGAGTAACGTTAGTACATATAACCCCGCAAACATCACTTTCATGAAGTGACAACTTAAAACTGAAGGGCGAGTTTTTGTTTTATTTCACAAATCCGTATTGTTAACAGTAAATGCTCATTTCTTGAAACAAACTTGGAAGTATTTATTAGAAAAGTGGTTGTCAACTTCCATCAGCAATGCGAAAACTTCATTACTGTCAGCAATGCGCAAATACTTGCAATTAGTCATTTCTTGGTGCTATGCTGAAGCATTCAATTATTGAGTATTCTCTTTTCTATTTTGATATTATATTGCTAATATTTAGTCATTTATGGCAATTATTTATTGATTTGAATTTTTCCACTCCCCTTAAATACAAATGTACATTATAAAAAGACACAAAGCAATAATACCGGTACTACTCCGTGTTTTTCTATAATATGCATTTGACGAAATTTGACCTATCACGGCGACCTCTGTGCCAAATCGCGAATTTCGATTGGCTGACGAATGCTGACGTTGTATCCTATATACGGTAGTCATCGGCCAAACCAAATGTACTACTAGTACACCTTTTTTCTATTGACTTGGGACTTTTTTCAACGTTGTTGGCTTGGCGCTCATTCGAAAGGGCGATGTGTCCATCCATTTGGCCTTGTGGCCAATAGAATTGACACGTCGTGCCGCAACACCCTTTGAAATGTACCATACTACCAATGGAAATGGCTCCACTACCCAACAATATGCCAAGTACCATTTCGAAT